AACCTACATACAAAATTGGATAATTTTGAGTATGCCATGTCTGAACTTATACTGTTGCCCACTGTGGAAACCCGCAATTGAACCTTCCTCTCGTACAATACTGTCAATCTAGTGCTATTTAATTTCCAAGGGCAAATGATGGCACTAGATTGAGGTTGGGCTGAATTTGGAAAAAAAGAAAGCAACAGTGTATGGAAGAATGAAGCTTTTGAAGAGTATGGCTTAATTATACATCACTCGAAAGGTCATGCGTGGAGACGTGTCCTTCAGGCATTTTGCGAATGAGTTTTCAAATAATACTGTTCATCAAATTTAAGAGATTTTCGAGTTTTTTTTTTTAATTAAGGTTTACAAAAATTTTAAAATATGTCGCGTTACGAAAACCTGTTTAATCTCATTACGATGACTTTGGTTTATTCTGTGAATGTTTCTACTTGGTTTAGTACTTTTTTCCATGAAGTGGGTAGATGGCACTAGTTTTCATTTTCAAGTTTCATGATTAGTACGGTGCTGAGTTGTTGATGTACATTGCAATCATTAATCATTGCCAGTCAGTTGAAAAGCTGGTATCAGGTCTATCTCTTCTGAAAAATCATGAAGTTCCTCATGAATTTCGCTGAAATATTTGTGTGACTTTTTTCTACAGGTCAAGGAAATGATGTCACTCATCACCGGCGTGGACGTGGACGAAGAAAAGCGCCAAAAGGCCGTATCCAACATTCTAGTTCTTTCTCGTGAACAAGCGGGTGCAGAGTTTATTTGGAAAGAAAATCTCGTGCCGGCGATCGTTACAGCCGCCAACAAGTCCGTTTCTGCCCGAAAATCCTACGGCATCAAACGTTTCGAGATCACCATCACGGTCATACGAATCCTTTCTGAATTGTGCAAGAACAACCTCGAAAGAACAAAAGGAATCTTACGGCAAGTCGGTCTTCCGTGGCTGATAGAGCACTTGTACATCGTGGGAACGGATATTGGATTAGGGAAAGAAAGCAGCTTGGGGAACGAGGCGGAGGCTGTGTTCACAGCCACTGAGTATTGTTTTCAGGCCATCTTGGACGCTTTAGCTGGCAAGCATATGACTTTCAAACGGGATGAGAAGTCGAAATATTTGGAAGGGAACAAAATTGAGATTGATGCCGTTTTGTCTTTACTTCTGGTTTCTTGCACGAAGCGTACCCTCTCGGCACAGGTGAAAAGAATTTCAAAAGATGCTATTTAACTGTCCTCTGCAAAATTTTGCGTTTTCCTCATGTACAACCCGTATTTTTCAACATTTATTTCATAGGCGGGTATGACATTTTAAAATTTGGTGAAGCTTTGGTGCGCTTTATATTCTATTTTAACAAGGACTTTTTAATACATTTCAACAGAAATTGATTGCATTTGAACATGTAAAATATGGAAAATCAACATTCAGTTTGACTTCAATTGGGAGCAAAATTCAAATTCTGATGTACAGTATTTTATTTTCAAAATACGTCATTTCAATTTCAAGTCTCTAAAAATGGGTTGCGCATCTCACTTGTTGATAAGTTTTTATCCAAATTTTGCGCCGTACTTGATCGAAAGTACTACAGTATACTGTGCTGTACTTCTTAGGGACGTGATGCTATCTTGGAGTTGATTATGAAAAATGTCGATTCAACTGCTGTGGACTGGGCCATGTCATTTGTGGATCGTGAGGGAGTCCAGAAGATGCTCGAGATTTGCTCAGAACTTCCGGATTACAAGTTTGAGTCCAGCATGGAAGTCACTGATAGCACAAGCACACTCGTGGCCGTAACCTTGGGAAAGGTTTACGAAAATATGTACTATGATAAGGTATGGGGATTCATTTCGCAATTGTCTTCAAAGAAAGGTCTCTTCGCGTCATTTTTGGACCATCTGGAAGTTCTGCTACGTAGAAAGGATTTTTTTAAATGAAATTATCCAATTTGAGGTTGAGAATTTTCTGTAAGTCTCAAGAATATTACCAGGGTGTATTTGTGAAAATCAAATTACGGAAGGAATTACCTCGTGATGGTGAAAATTTTTCTTATAATTTCGAAATTAAGAGTAGCAATAGCCATGAGGGTCGAGGGATTACAATTTGAATTCGGTGACACATTTGAGCCCCGATTCAGTCCGTCAGTCTTCATTGATATTTTGTATGCATTCTAAAATCAGTTAAACATTGTAACTTGCGTACTGCGTAAAAAAAAAACTGAATGATCGATATTCCATTTAAAAGTGTATTTACTGGAGTAATAATTTTGTTTAAGTATTTAAAAAGGTAAACTGCACAAAAGGATGCAATTCTTCGTCCTACGGGATCATTGTACGGTGCAGATATGAAAAAAAAATTTTAATATTCGTTGGAGATTATTTTGGAGATGAAGATTTGGACCTCATTGAATTGGTGCTTTTAAATCGTTCAAGAGCTTGATTTTCAACTGAGGCCTGCTGTATTTTTGGTGAAATTTGGCACAGTACTTGAATTCTGATTTTTGTCATTCTTAAATTACAGGCCCGGGAAAAGTTCTTGTCAAAAGTTGACGATTTTGTGAAAGATAGGCTTTTGGATCCTGATATCGAGTCCAAAGTTCGGGTAACTGTTGCCTTAACCGCCCTTCTGCGTGGGCCATTCGACGTTGGTAATCAAATAATTGGCCGCGAAGGCATCTTGGAAATGCTCCTCGTCATGGCCGGCACTGAAGATGAAATTCAACAACGCGTTGCATCGGAGGCAATTATTGCTGCAGCTTCGAAGAAGGACAAAGTGAAGCCCATCATTTCTCAAGGGACTAATATTTTGAAGAAGCTGTACATGTCGAAGAATGAGAATATCAAGGTGAGGCCTGAAATGTTTTCATGTTGCCAGAACCGGAGTTTAACCAAAAATGCCCAAGTTATTATTTTTGGAATCCACTCGGTTATGGTGATCAGGGAAATTTTTATAATTTTAAAACTGCAGTACTTTCTCGAGAAATTAATTTTAGCTAAAATGGCAAACTGTATGGAGAATTATTAACCCCGTAATATTTAAATATCTCGCGATTCGTAATAAATTTCTCTAAATTGAATTTCACTTTTTTGGAAGAGGTGTAAAGTACTGTAAATTACAACAATTTTAAAAATGGTGCTGGGTATTTATGAATACTGTAGTTATGAAGTCCACATCTTTGTGAAAACACAGAGTGCACCCAGAAGAGCATAGGTCATGATATACTGTACTCATGTATCCCTTATTTGTCGTTGAAAGAGTTTATGGGTCATAAAAGTTCGTTCATATTACCTTCGAAGGTACGTGGATTAGTTGGATTATGCAAATTGGGCGGATCATCTGGATCTGATGCGTCCATTCGACCGTTTGCTGATGGTTCAACCTTGAAGTTGGCTGAGGCCTGTCGCAGATTTCTCATCAATCCAAGGTTTGTTTGGTTGACTTTCCCTCATCACAGTGTCATTGAATGAATTTATCGCCAAGTTTCGTACATAAAAATCAATGTGAAATTCTATGGACTGTCGAACTTGGAAAACAATATTCATACTTGCAAAATTTCATGAAAGAGTAAATCTTCGAATAATTTTCCAAGGATTGAACCTTTGAAGATCCACTTACAATTATGCAATTTCTTTTCAGGGAACGAAAAAAAAAATACGTGACTTTCTTGAATACTGACGTGTACCAGTCTAAACAGCTCTTACGAATTGTCTTACGAAAATCGTATTAACAAACTCTGATTGTAGTCTAAACTACAGTTTTTTAACGTGTTTCACACCATCATAAAAACTCTGATGAATGCAAATTGACAAAGAAAATCAACTGAGAGTTACACCTGCATTTTAGCAAAATGAGTGTCAGAATGTTGGTGACGTCGGACTCGGAAAAGAAAAATAATGAAAAATATATACGAGAACAGCTTAGTTTCAATTTCATTCAACTTCTTGCTACAGCTCAGTGTTGTTTGCTCAAGACAAATATGTGCGGAGCCATTCCACGTTGTGCAAACAAGGATGCAAATGAAAGATTTTGTTATGCTATCATTTCACGAAGTCCACGAGATCTGTAGAAATTTTAATTTTTCAGGCATGACAAGGGTGTACGAAAGTGGGCAATTGAAGGCCTATCGTATCTCACTCTCGACGCAGAAGTGAAGGAAAAGCTAATAGAGGATAAACAAGCTCTCGCGGCTATGGTAGAGGTAGCCAAAAGCGGGGATCTTTCTGTCGTGTACGGCTTCGTGACGACGCTAGTCAACCTGACCAACAGCTACGAGAAGCAAGAAGTCATCCCGGAAATGATCGAATTGGCCAAGTTTGCCAAACAACACGTGCCTGAAGAACACGAGCTGGATGATAAGGACTTTGTTTTGAAGCGTGCCGAGATTTTGGCCAAGGCTGGGATGACTTCCGGACTGGTGGCCTTGTCCAAAACAGACAGTGATAATTGCAAGGAACTCATTGCTCGTGTGTTGAATGCCATGTGTGAGATGGCGGAGTTGCGGGGCATTGTGGTGCAGCAGGGAGGTGCAAAGGTAATGAGGTGTTTTCTTGAAATGCTGAATCGCCATTTTTTCTGACACTTAGCAGACCTTCAGATGGCCCATTCACATATTCGTCACGGAAAATTCGTTATACTGTACTGAAATGTCAGGTGAAAATAAGTTTGCTAAAACTTGAAAGTCTACCACTCTGAACGAGATTCTTGCGACATGGCTCGTATGAGAAAACTGCTGAGACCCTTGGAAATTCGTTGTGATTAAAAATTCGTTAAATTGAAATTGTTCGCGAGTCTGCCTTATCATTTGATTGGACCAAAGTATTTTATGTTGCATGAAGGCGCATGAAAGAAAAAACTCAACAAAACTACGAGAAACAGCTCTGCTCTTTTACTATGAACAATATGCGTAAAATTTAACATACAGTATTATTTTTTATTGAATGTATTGCAATGAAGTACTGTATATTATCAGTGGCATTTGAGCTTCAAATTATTACTTGTGGCTTTCAATCTTGTAAAACAGACTCAGTGGCCTAATAGTTTCGTGAATAAGCTCAATTTGCCTACACTAGAGACCCTCGTATCCTTCCCCTCATATAATACTCTCAATTCAGTACCAAGAAATTTTCAAGGGCAAATTATGATACTGTACCAAATCGAGGTTTAACCGGTTTTTATTCAGAGATAATATGAGATCTAATGAAGGAACGACTGACTCTTTCTGATTTCAGATCTTGATACCGATGGCACTTGAAGGTACCGTAAAGGGCAAACGCCAAGCGATTCAAGCGATCGCGAGAATCGGCATCACAATCAATCCGGAAGTGGCCTTCCCTGGACAGCGAAGTTGCGAAGTCGTTCGTCCACTCCTCAAGAATCTCCATGTGGAGTGTTCAGCGTTGGAAAACTTCGAGTCGCTCATGTGCCTGACCAACTTGGCTGGCATGAACGAAACCGTGAGGAAGCGTATCATCAAGGAAGGTGGTTTGAGTTGGATAGAACATTACTTGTATGAAGACCACGAGATGCTGAAAAGAGCTGCTGCTCAGGCCATCAACAACATGATGCTTTCCGAAGATGTCATTAAAATGCATGAAGGTGAGGTTTTTTTGGTTGCAAATGCTTGGAGTTTTTTTTTTTGTGTGTGTGTCTGAGTTGATTATTTTTTGCTGTTTCTTGCTTCCTAAAAATGTCTCCACCCACAGCGCCTTGGAAAGCCTTTTTTTATTTATTAATTCGAAGGCTTCCCCTCTCAAACCTCCTTAATTTGAATTTTCTGGAGTCCTTTTGGCTTATATTTCATCTGCACAGGAAAGAGGAAAGCCATAAAAAAGTAACTTGATGTGTTTTCAAAGGAAGTGAAAGACTAATTGGGCAAATGAACCCTTGCCTCCTATTTCAGTATTTTTTTTGGCTCATTTGAAAAGCAATTTAAGGCCCAGAATATCACCAACTACGATGTCTTGTACAGTAGTTATTTTTTCTTTCCCCCAATAAAAATGCTCTTTTCTCCATCTCAAATTTCTTTGCTGGTTCCTTTGAAGTTGGACTTGAGGAGGTGTTACTTGTACTGTATTTTAAATTCTTCACAGGATGCTCAGAATCTTAGAATCAATCCCGGTAATTAAAGACGCACTGTATAAAATTAATGTGAGACTGCAGCTTTGGGAGCCGACTTTTGCAAGTGGTGTGAAAAACCAGCTTGTTCATTCCTTTTCAAATAAAAAATGCAGCGTACCTTTTTTTCAATTATAGACCCATTAGAAGATTTTTTTCGTGTTTTTACAAATAATTTTTTTCTTCGAATTTCAGGGAAAAACGACAGAGTGAAGATCCTCTTGCTGATGGTGGAAGAAGAAGACAAGGAAACTCGTTTCGCGTGTGCCGGGGCCTTGGCAATAGCATCAGCATACAGCAAGAAAGTGTGCGACAAGATCCTCAATTGCTCTCAACGATCCATCGAACTTCTTCAATTCCTTCTCGCAAATCCCGAACAAGAGCTTCAGCATCGCGGCGCGTGTATAATTGCCAATATCATGAACACCAGCAAACGTTTGGCAGAGAAGATGATCGAGACGCCGTTGATGGAAGTGCTGATGGCTGTGGAGCAGCAGCAGCACTTGTTGCCCGAGGGTGAAGCTAGTCCGAAAGTGCTCAAGTATGTTGAGGAATCTTTGCGATTGGCGAAGGAGTGGAAGTTGATCAAATCTTCGGATGATGCGGATCAAGGCAGCGATGTGGAATGATTGTGTTCGAATTATCTACGAAGAAAAAAAGGGGGGTTATTTTCCTTGGTGGGGTGGGGTCAGGATCAATTCCAGTGCCCAGTGTTACGAATTCTTTGTACTGTACTTTACTTTACTGTACCCTGTTGGTTTGGAGAAGAGTGTGGATGCAAGTATTGTGTGTCAAAAGACCCGAGGTGGTATTGTTGCCTCTACCAAAACGTCAGCCATTTTTGTTATGTTTTAAAAGCTGACTCTTGAAATCTAGTCAAAATTTTGACCGGGCAGTTTGCCTTGGGTACCCAATTTAACATTGTTCATTTGTTGAATTTGTAACGTGTGTCCTTTATTAGCTAATGATACGCATTTGATGATAATGATTGTCGAAAAAAAAGGAGGCGTGCCCAATTGGTTTTGTGCAAGATTCTGCTCCCCTTTTTGCGAAGGTCCGCTGTGGGAATTGAATGCCCCCTGCAAATCTTCTGAATTTTCTCAAACTTTTTCTTATTTAGATGGGATTCATCATGATGGACATATTCCATTGTGTTTCATCCACGATAACTTCCTGTTCTGTTCATGATTGCATGACAATTGGAACTTTGGTGCCTTTGTAGGATTATCCGGTTTGTGACCAGCTGTGAGCAAAATCTGTATGCCAGAATATGTTGGTTGATATAAAGTGGCCTTCCTTGAATTTCGCCCGTTTGTTTCGTTTTTTTTCTGTCTTTTTTGTGTGGAGGAATTTTTCACGGCTAATGTTGATGCACGTAATGTAAAATTTCCCTGTTTGCAGGATGCATTTTCAATAAATGCCTAAAATTCTGTCTTCTCTTCTGAGAAATGAGCCTCAAAAGGAGAGTTGACAGCGGTTTCTGAGGTATTCGGTCTTCCTAAAAGTGAGTGACTTTTTATGTAAAAAATGTGCGGAATGTAGCCTTGGAGATGCGAAACGGTTTCCCAAGGATGAAAATGCAAAATTTCGCTCAAACGAGAGGGACTTTACACAAAATATCAGACCAGAGAGGTAATCGTGTGATTGGCGCTGAGGAGAGGTAAGTTTTCAAATCGAATTCAGATTTCAACTACTGTACTGGATTTTTAAAGCAGCTGAAGAAATGAAAAACATTCCTTTCATTTTGAAAATGTATTGGTAATATTTTCAGACTGTTTGACACATTTTTTAGGTCACTGCATGTTGAAATGTGGACAATTTTCGGTGATGGTGAGAAAGCATCTCCATTTCAATCTTCTTAATTTTTCCAAAGTGGTCACAGGTAAATCTATTTGCTTTCATTATTCTCTGTATCTTTTTTCTGAACTCTGGTAATTTTAACAGAATTCATATAGGTATTCTACAGATTCTCCATTCTGACATCTGCACTGACTCAATTCAGCCTCTTTTTCGATTTTACTAATCTAAATGTAAGTATATCTGCCAATTTTTTCTCATTTTGGCCATATATATATTGTATTCGTCGTAAATTACTTCAGGTTTGTTGAGCGTTGGGTTCGATTATATTTTATATTGAACCCCAATATAACTCGAACCGCCCAGCATGGTCAAATACCTAACATCAATTTTTTCACGGCCCTATCAATCTGAATCCTCCAGAAAACGTTGGATTAAAATTTGTCCGTCTAAGACCCCCCTCAAATCAACGCAACAGAAAAATTCCTGGAGGCCTCCGGCTATTTTTTCATTGACAGATACAGTACTGTATATATGAAAGAAAAAATAAAATGTAACTATTCATCTATTTCGAAAGGGAGTGAAAGATTATAATTTGGCGAATGAACCTTTGCCTTGTCCGAATTCAGTATCAGTATTAAGGACCAGAATATCACCAATTACAATTTCATGTACAGTAATTATTCTTTCTTTTCCGCAATAGAAATGTTAATTTCCCTGACACGAATTTTTTGGCTGGTCTCTTTTGATGTTGGATTTGGAAAGTTCCCACTGTACTTACCTCTTTAATTTTGATCAGTTTCCCCAATTTTTTTCTTTTCAGAAGTGTTATTTCTCCTGATCTTACTCACAGCGCGCAGGTGTTTTCTGTGGGTTACTTTTATATATGCTGTATACTGAGGTTCGATCACCCACTAAAACTGTTATTTTGATATGGAGTATTTCAGGAATAATTTCGACAGCTGCCGGCAGATGTCGATTCGGAGATTTTCTGCGAAACAATGATAAGACCCGCGGAAAGGCAGGAAAAAGGATCTTTGCCTTCATTACTCAGCAGCTTGACAGCAGTACAGTATATAGTATCAGATGTTGCTTCATTTTTGTTCCGTCTCAACTTTCAGGAGACAAAAGAGTTTCCTTGAGACTCTATAGGTTTTATTGCCGTAGAAAAAAAAGTTGAAAAAATCTTGCCTCGAGGACCCCTTCTGCGTTCCCAGAATCGGCGATATATACTGGCGTACAGAAATGCTCTCCCGTTTTGCTGGGGCTTTTTAACATTCTCCAGTTTCTGCGTAAGCATCAGTGCAGTATTCGGTTTCTTGGCCTTTTTGGAGCTGCGTGGTTCTCATATACTGTACTGTACTGTACAGCAGTGTTCCCCAACCTTTTTGCGGCAAATTCCTCAAAATCCTTCTATATACGGACCGGCTAAAATTCATAAATTTTTAATGGACTCGAAAAAGCTTCGCTTGAAAGAGTTTATGCTGGCAGCAGGTTTGTGCTTGTCGAAAAAAAAATTAAACTCAAATGAAGCAGCTATATTTATAGGAAAATGTCTTCCAAAGAATAGGAAGGTGGGCTTGAAGAAAGGTTTCTCAGGATGAAAAATTATAATAAATTATTTCACCATGCGAAAATTTGTCGGAAGTGCGTGTTGGGACAAGATAAAAGCCAACTTTTATTTTTTCATCAGATATTTGCAACTCTGCGATTGTATTTTCAAAATTTTGGATACAGATACTGTAATATTACAGCCTTCATTGCTACTTTTGATGGATTCATTATGCTTCAGAAAATTTCCCCGGTTTGCTGGGAGCACGTACTGCTGTAATACAGCATAACTTATTCAGACGAGGCTTTTTATTATGCGGCATTTGAAAAATTCGCTTACAGTAATTTTCGTTTCATGCAGGTCTCTTATTTGATTCGATTCAACATTAGAGCTTTTCAGGATGACTTCATCTGATGTGAAATTGAGCAAAACCATGTCGTGGCTTTTGAGACACGGTGCTTTGAAGGAAGGTGTTGAGATTTCTTCTGACGGATTTGTGAGAGTCGGTGACATTCTTTCGCGAAAAGAATTTGCAGGTTGTACTTTGAAAGACGTTCAACGCATTGTCGAACAGGACAAGAAAACGCGATTTTGCCTGAGGGAAAGATGCGGCACTTACGAAATCAAAGCCAATCAAGGTCACAGCATAAGGGTAAGTCTTATTCTCCCAAGTTTTATGGATGATGATTCACAGCAAATAGGAAGTCTAAATACATTGCATCGGGATTCTATTAACGAGCCTAGTCTTCAATTTCCAGCGGTAATGATTGGTTCGTTCCTCAAAAATAAGTTACTGTATATGCTGTAAGTCAATATATTTCCCATTTATACGAGGGTTGGTTTGTATTTTTCTTGCTTTTCTACTTTATTCACTTGAGGTTCGCTCTTCACGTCAAGTTTATTGTTCATTAAGGCAAAATGGCGTCAGAACCGGGTTCGTTCTGTTGAACAGTCGTTCGCACCTTCGGGCGTTCGTTGCTCAAGGCACAAATTCTTTATGAGCAACTTCTCCATTTCCAACAGGTTGAAGATCTGGAGTTGTTGCCAGTGCTGTCGAAGGAAGAAATTGCCGGAGAACTCGTTCATGGAACGTACGAAACGGCGTGGGAGAAAATTAAAGATGAAGGAATCCGTTGTCAAAATCGAAATCACGTTCACATGGCGGTGGATTTATGTGCCGGGAAAATCGATGAGCGGAGAGAAATTCCGGGAATCCGTTCCTCGTGTGAAATTTTAATTTATATCGACCTGGAAGCAGCACTTCGAAGTGAGTGCTGCTGAAGAATTCTTTTGGGATTATGAATGTTTTGTATGCTTTGTTGAAATCTTTTTTTTTTTCAGGTGGAACCCGATTTTTCAAATCGCCAAATGGAGTAATCCTGAGCCCAGACGTGATAAACCCGAATTTTTTCATGAAAGTGTTGAATGTAAAGACTGGAAAGTATATTTTGAATTAAACGATGAGGTAAACCTTGAAAAACCATTTGGTATTTCGGATTCTTTTAGTAACTCACAGTTGCCCTTTTTTTAATCTGCGCTATTCTTCTCAAGTCAGCAGTAATACTCCGGTTTTGAATTGATGATTTGTAAGCTGCTTTTTGGGCACAGAACAAAGCCAAAATATTATTTTTTTGACGATCTGTCCACGGATTCAAAGTGCTGTGTTTCTGATGGACATGCATGTGTTGGAATAAAAAAGCTCGAAATCGATTCTACAGAAATTTCTGTTGCCTTTATCTTTGTTATGAAATCCATTTCACGTGATGAAAATTCTATTTCAGAATTCCGGAACATTTTCAATCGGTTCTTATGATGAGGGATGCCGCAGGGAAAAAAAGTGGGGTTGCTGATTTCATCTGATGAATTTGTGTTGTGTAGTGAATTGCATTACTTGTGAAAGTGTATTCGCGAGACGGAATGTCGAAGAAATTGAGACGGACAAGTTTGTATAGCGTTTTTAATAGTCTCTCCGTTGTCCAATTTTTATAACGTTACTGCATTGCTTTGATCATCAGCTCGCACACTTGAATGAAATATTTTGAACAAAATATGCTGTTCTCATTTCTTGCATTCTTGGAATGTCAGAATAGGTCCAGTGTATGCAATACTGTACTACAAAATGTGTACTACAGTATTTAAGGACAGGGTGCGAAACTCTGAACGGTTCATTTGAAAGATGTACGCTAAGGAAAATACTGTCTTGGAGTACGGAACTGCCAAACATTTCAATATATTTTTCTACATTTCTCATTACAGTGTACCGTTGAAAATGTCCTACTGTCACTCAGTGGCGGCCCTAGGGTGGGGCAAGAGGGGCGGCCGCCCCAGGCCCCGCGCTTGAGGGGGCCCCGCACTCAAGGATGGCCCCGCCATTCAGTGGCTCTGAAAATTGGCTGTCCCCTTCAAAATTTTACAGTGGCGGCCCTAGGGTGGGGCGAGAGGGGCGGCCGCCCCAGGCCCCGCGCTTGAGGGGGCCCCGCACTCAAGGATGGCCCCGCCATTCAGTGGCTCTGAAAATTGGCTGTCCCCTTCAAAATTTTTTCCACGTTTTTAAAACTGGAAGGTGTTATCCAAATTCCCTAGAATTTTTAAAGATTGGTGAGTTTTAAACGAATACTTACTATTACGTCTAATAGCAAGTTCGTTACCAACCTCGATTCTTCTAGATAACAAATTCTATCCTGGTTTCTTAAAAATGTCTTCCCCGTACTTTGCGGGCCAAAAGGATTTTTAGTTAGTTTGAATAAAATAGCTACCAGGATCTCACGTAGAGAGGCAATAAGCTTTTATTGACAGCGCACAACAACAACCAGTCGCGAGTGCTAGGGCACGAATGCTGCTGAACAGAATGCAGCATACCAGATTTAAACATGCGCGGTGGTCAGCCAGCAGGTTATACGACTCGCTGGCTGGCCCAAAAAATAAAGATACATACACACACACAAGTCCGCAAGAGGACAGCAGGCTATTCAGCTCGCTGGCCTCAGGTGCGCGTGACGGGCGTATTATGCATGCGCCCTATTCCAACATTTCCAAAGCTCGGGCTTTTGCTAGGAAGAAAAATGGAATGGGAGACCAGAATCATGCATGAGGAATGAAGAGAGAAAACCGGGCTAGGGAGCCATTGAGGGCTTCATAAAAATAATGGATCACAAAGGAGTGGGGCCCCCTTCTAAAAAAACTAGTCTATATATAGTCTATATACATTTTTCAATCTTCACTGAAATTTCTGTTGAAGATAAATGCATTTAAACAAGGTCTTGTTGAGTTCTTACAAATAAGAATTCAAATAGAAACAATGCATATGGAATTTTGAATCACCATTAAATACTGTAATGGTAATCCTCAATGTTAAACTTTACCATGTAGTTTATGCAATTATGGTCCAATTTGCAATCAANAAGCAGCTCTTCGGACCATTCATGGTCATCACTTTCCAGGGGCATGGAATCTACCGCATCGGAGTCCGCAACTGCACATATGACGCAAAGGCCTGGGAAATGCAGCCGTGGAACCAACTACCAGGACCGCCACACGAGGGGTTCAACAAGCTGTTCGCGATGCAGGACAAGCAGAAGTCCCACACAACCACGACAGAGGCACCTGATCACGCATACGCGGCACGCGACACAAACAACTGCACACACGCCTACTGCTGAGCTGTACACTGTCAAACATTGGGCCCATGCCTGATGCAACCACCGGCAACCGCCGCTTTAAATACGGCGCATCATTCTGGGTCAGTCGCTCTTCTTTCAGGGGGGGGAGAGTAAGCGCCGCCGATAACCATTGACGATGCTACGCAAGATAAGAGGACAACGGACCATGGAAAAACACCCACCGACAAAAACACCAAGAGAACAACAAGCCAAACGACCACGCTTCCGGAGGCCAAGGCCCCCGACCAAGGACACAGGAAGGAGCACCGTTAAACGGCCTAGCGGGGAGAAGTGGACAAAGGCAACAACCCTGTATAAAAGGAAGAACCTCAAATCAACAACACTCACTCAAAGACTGAACCTTATGTACTGACCACTCAAGCTGTGTATACCCTTCTCGTCTGTGTTGTGAACTTGTCTATTGTCCGTCAAAGGCATCGACCCTGTATAAAAGGAAGAACCTCAAATCAACAACACTCACTCAAAGACTGAACCTTATGTACTGACCACTCAAGCTGTGTATACCCTTCTCGTCTGTGTTGTGAACTCGTCTGTCGTCTGTCAAGAGAAATACATCCGTGTACTTCCGTGTACTCCTGACTCGTCCATTTCCCAAAGGATCTTACTGGGGGCTCGTCCGAACCATCCTTTCTGCTGACCAATTGAACCTTCTTCTGCCACCGTTTTCGCCAACCATACCATGCCCTGGGACACCGAGAACTCCAGGGCTGCCAAACGGGCTGCCGCTGAGCTGCTGGTGCTTCAATATCAGGCCAGTTTGCGAGCGGAGCAGCCACCAACTGACAACTCCGGCAATGATTCCATCATCACCAACTCTGATGCCACCCTTCCAGCAGGGGACATCGAGAGGCAGGGACAGACCATTCCTGTCGCAGCACCAAACCAGTGGGACTTCCTCATGCTCCACACGCTACAGAAGTTTGCTGAACTATACCTGTCCAAAAGACCCACAACAACCGAACGACAGGCACACATCGACCTCATGCATCGCTTCCAGGTCTCACCCGTGACGCTGATGATGTACCAACTGTTGCAAGCGTCGCCCATACCAACCAGCCCAACAAAGGCGGCCACATTTCTGCCGCTGCCAACCAGCCGGTGCATCCATGACCATCAGGCACCAGAACTCCCCAAGCAGCTGAAAGAGGAAGATTTTGAAGACTACGCTCTACGGCTCAGGGAACTCCTCACCATCGACAACATCGGGGAAAACAAACGCATCCGGTGTTTAATCCACCAAGCATTACAATGTTGCAGAAATGGCCCGCCAGGTATACGCGGCGGGCGCCATCACATTCGACAACATGGTCCGCAAAATCATGCTACAGCATCCAACTCCGCGCTTTGAGCGCCTCAGACGTTTCCGCCAACTGCAAGTGAATACAAACAAAACATACCGCAGATTTGGCTGTCGTCTACAAGCCAACCTGGAGCTGTTTCTTGCCATACCACATCACAAAATAAATGCAGACCAACTTGCAGTGATACATCCCATGCTGTCGGAGCAACTCATCAAAACCACACACCCCAAAGTTGCGGAGAAACTCGTGAACAAGCTGAACGACAACCCCGATCTCCCATGGGAAGAACTCCTACAGTATGCGGATTGGCAACGCACCCTCCATCTGGCCCAACAGGGGGGGCTACTAGCGCGCAGCAGCAGCGACAGCCGGCCTAAAACCCCACGTTCCACCTGGGGCACCACGGACTATTGCGACTGGCATAAGGTCGCAGGCCACAACAACGCAGCATGCCGTTCCAAATTTTTTCACACCAAGCACCCCGCTTATCCGAAACGGGACAAACCTGGCACGCCCACGGCACCAGCACCCACGGCAGATGACAAAACGGCAGCATGTGTAACATGCAATCTGACGGGCCACACAGCCAAAGACTGCGGCCAGAAGGCGGGAAACGCCAAACAAGCGCAGTAGAGGCGGTCCTCTACGCTCTGCAGACCAAGACCGCTCCCATCCTTGTGGCTGTACATATCCAGCGCCAAACCTGCAACGCCATGATTGACACCGGCGCCTCCCACTCATTTATCAACGAGGCCTGGGCTGAAGCATTACAACTGGAGGCATCTCCAGATCAGGTTGCCGTCTCCACCGCGGGACAAACCGAAAACCTGGTCCTGAAAGGCGCAGCAACCACCAAAATCCGTATTGGAAACAAACTCTACCTGGCCAAATTATGGATCCTCCCTAATGCGGGATTCCCCATCATCCTGGGTCGGGACATGCTGGACCAAATGCCCATCACCATTGGGTTGGAGGGAAACCGCCTCTACATCGGATATCAGGGGCACTACAAACCCGACGCCAAACCGACACTGAACATCAGGGACGGCATCATATTCATTGACGGGAGCCCACAGGAACGCCTCATCCTACAAAACCTACTACCAGCCACGCAGCAGCAATTCATCAATGGTCAGGGAGGCGCGGATGCTTCCCCAAACAATCTGTGAGTCTGATCACCGCCAATTCCACACCGCCAGCATCCAGACCATTCCGCCAGGCACCGGACAAACAAGGGCCATTTACAGAAATTGTGACGGAATACCTACATGCAGGCCTGATTGAGCCTGCGGCATCCAGCTACAACTCACCCACGTTCCTAACACCAAAAAAGTGTACCAATGAGGCCGCCCCGGCATCCAAACGCTGGCGCTTGGTAGAGGATTACCGCAAACTAAATTCCATCCTCGTCCCGGACAATTATCCAATGCCCATAATCCAAGACCTACTTGACGCGCTAGGACAGGACAATGCCTACTTCTGCACAATCGACTTGCACGTGGCTTTTCACCACCTGCCGATAATGCAACCGGACAGGCACAAAACCGCATTCTGGACCCCCAAGGGGCAGATGCAATATGCGGTCCTGCCGTTTGGACTGCGCAACGGGCCTGCATTATTTCAAAGGGCCATCAACACCATTCTCCGCCAGCACATCCCACACCAGTGCATGGCATACATTGACGACATCATTGTCTACGGGAGAACGTTTACAGAGGTACATGATAACCTTGCCGCAGTTCTCACCACACTCGACGCGGCCAGAGCAGCAGTTGACCTGTCCCAAGTTGACTTTTCTGGCACAACAAATAGAATTTCTGGGCCACATCGTCGACCGTACTGGTACCAGACCCGCCGAACAAAACCTACATGCGGTACGCGACTATCCACAACCCCAAACAACCAAAGAAATGCAGCAGTTTCTGGGGCTATCCACATATTTGCGAGCCCACGTACCTCTCAATTTTGCGTCTGCTGAAACACACCTCCGAAAGATCATACCACCAAAACTGCAAACCACCCTGCGATGGACCGAGGAGGCTACAACAGTGTTTAACCGCCTCAAAGAGGCAATGGCGGATGCAGCCTGACTGGAATGCTACGACGGCACCTACCCCATAGAGGTACATGCAGATGCCTCGGCGACAGGACTGGGCGCAATACTTGTACAAATTCACCCTGACACCGGGCCAGCAGTGATTGAATACGCGAGTGGGGTGCTAACGGATGCCGAGACACGCTACAGCAACACCGAACGGGAACTCCTGGCAATCGTGTGGAGTATCACCAAGAAATTCCGGCACTACGTGGAACATTGCAAATTTACCATAGTGACCAATCACCAACCTCTCCTCGGAGAACTCCGGACAACGCGGCTAATCCGGCTACAAATGAAGTATGGGGCATACCGCGGAAATCTACAGCACCGCCCGGGGCGTACTCTCCACGCGCCCGACGCTCTGAGCCGCATCTCCCTAAATCAAAGCGAGACCCGCGAAATTCCTAACACCCACAAACAACGGGAAATCATTGACGCCTACCACAAGGAACTGGGGCATGCGCATTGGAAAAAGGTGTTGGACACCATCCGCCGACGATTCCACTGGCTGCACATGCGCCAAAGCATCTGGAGGCACCTCGTGGACTGCAGCAAGTGTTTTACATATAACGCGAGCACGCAAAAAACAGGCACACACCTCGAACCCATCACTGCCGAAAACCCCAGGGAACGACTCACCCTTGACTTCTACGGCCCACTGCCCCAATCTGAACAGGGGTTCCGATACGCACTCGTGGCGGTCGATCACTACTCCAAATTCATGATTGCGCAGCTGGTGAAACGAGCGGACGTCACAGCGGTCATACCCATCCTGGCCAAAATTTTCCGCCAAGTCGGAACATTCCAGGTGATCCATTCCGACCGTGCCGCCGTTTTTCAATCCCGGGCTTTCTGTTGTTTCTTGAAGGAGCACAAATGCAGACAGCATCTGGCCCACGGATACCATCCCAAGGGCAATGGCACCTGCGAACGAGCAATACGGACATTGGGGCAAATACAAGCCAAGCTGGTAAAAGGGGACTGCACACATTGGGACGAGCACTTACCGCAATCGGTACTGGCATACAACCAAACCCCGCACAAATCCACCGGGGCATGTCCAGCGGAGATCTTCTTTGACACAGCCATCCAGCTCAACGCAGACAATCTTTTCAGCATCCAAGCCACACGCACAGTCCACCACGAGCAACAGGTCCGCCGGCACAACAACGCAGCTCGGAAGATGTTTGCAGACCAGGCCAACAAGCACAAATGGCCCAAATTCAAAGCAGGGGACATGGTGACCATCCAACCACGCATCCCAACAACCATGCAGCACGCCGCACAACGCCGTTTCCGCAAGCAGCGCTTCAGACCATTCATGGTCATCACTTTCCAGGGGCACGGAATCTACTGCATCGGAGTCCGCAACCGCACATATGGCGCAAAGGCCTGGGAAATGCAGCCGTGGAACCAACTACCAGGACCGCCACACAAGGGGTTTGACAAGCTGTTCTCGATGCAGGACAAGCAGAAGTTCCACACAACCACAACAGAGGCACCCGACCACGCATACGCGGCACGCGACACAAACAACTGCGCACACGCCTACTGCCGAGCTGTACACTGTCGAACATCGGGCCCATGCCTGATGCAACCACCGGCAACCGCCGCTTTAAATACGGCGCATCATTCTGGGTCAGTCGCTCTTTTTTCAGGGGGGGAGAGTAAGCGCTGCCGATAACCATTGACGATGCTACGCGAGATAAGAGGACAACAGACCATGGAAAAACACCCGCCAACAAAAACACCAAGAGAACAACAAGCCAAATGACCACGCTTCTGGAGGCCAAGGCCCCCGACCGAGGACACAGGAAGGAGCACCGTTAAACGGCCTAGCGGGGAGAAGTGGACAAAGGCATCGACACTGTATAAAAGGAAGAACCTCAAATCAACAACACTCACTCAAAGACTGAACCTTATGTACTGACCACTCAAGCTGTGTATACCCTTCTCGTCTGTGTTGTGAACTCGTCTGTCGTCCGTCAAGAGAAATACATCCGTGTACTTCCGTGTACTCCTTACTCGTCCATTTCCCAAAGGATCTTACTATACTGCAGTGATGCTAGGTCACTCGGTCGACGTCAGAAATTATCTGCTTCGCGGGAGATGATATTGACAGTACGCGACCCAGCAATGACTCAATATATATTGTTTTCGTTGCCATTTAATGTTGTAAATACGGTATAATATGCTCTTCTCAGAATAAGCTTGAGAAAATTAATTTATTGTTTACATACCTGATGGTTGCGGACTTACACTTCCGCCCGGATTTTTTTCAGGAACCCCGCCCTTTGCGTACGGAAGGCAACTTCCCCTCTGCGGTACAGCACGAGTAGATGTCAAAATACCGGCAGCTAACTGCCGCGACAGCTCAAGGCGCTGGCGATCCCTGAGGAGTCAACAGCGGCCACGTAAAGTAATTTCCCCAATCCCACCAAGTTCAGAGCAAGGTTTTAGGACACTTTTCTAAGGATAGACAAGCCCGATGGTGGAGCTGTTCCTGTAAGAATCGCCAGCTTTCCCCTTACGAAACGATTCCGAGAATTGGCGCACTGATTTTTGGGCGTTAAACGGATTCTCCTCATGCGAGGAGAATTAGCTTACTAATTCTCCTATGAATGGGCGGCACTTTCGTCATGGGTTTCTGTTTCGCGCAGCTTTTGCTGGAAGACAAGACTAAACGTCTTCTTTTCCTGCAGGCTTCTTTATTGCCCTTCCTCTATAGCGGCGAATCTGCTCAACGTCTCATCGTCTTTCAGCGAGCCAATTTCCCGCCAATCGTGCCTTCTTTCTTTTCGAAAAATCCGTTCCTGGCAAAAGTGCGTGAAAGATTTCTTGTTCCTGTATATAGTGGAGCTGCGACGGGGAAGTTAGTTGGTATTTGGCAACCTTCAATCTAGAATTTCGTTTTTATCGAGATCCTGACAAATTTTGGTTCGCCTGAAAACATTCTTGGATGTCTTATTTTGATGTGTGGAATTGATTTTTTTTATTGTGTTCAGTGTGCAGTGAACATTTTTCCGCATCACTTACATGACTAACTATCATCGTCAACGCGGAACCTGAAGGTGTTGCACATTCTTGCCTTGAATTCGGATTCGTGAATTGAAAACAGCCAGCGATCATACACTCCCTATTGTCGTTTAAAAATCACCGGCGTGGAACAAAAGCATAAATAGACAGACGAATACGATCAGAAGACTCTTCATTTTGATGTTTGACTACCATGATTGAAAGGCTAACAGTTTTAGAATTCCTGTTGGTTGGTGTCACTTTCAAATTATCTATAGCAACAGTCAAGAAGAGATGCGGACAGCTTTATATTGATCTTAATTATATTTGTCCAGTTGTAAATTGCGTCTTGTATTTCAGAAAACAAGCATGCTTGATTTCTCTGTATTATTGCGCGTTCGTCGAAGTATCCCGAAAAATATGTCGGCGTTATTAGAGCGAAATAATTTTCCGCAGCAGAGAGTTATTGTGGAACAGGAAGTGACACTCATCATTGTATAGGAACAGGTAAACTGCACCTGCAAAGAATTATCGGGAGTGTACCGTATATTTCGTGCTTTTCTTTTTTCTCAATTACGTTATCGTGCTGAGATGATTACGCGGCGGCTTCATGCTGGTAAGGTACAGTACTTGTTAAAAGAAGAAGTGAAATATGTCGAAGCGAAGGAATTAAATTGGCCATTGTATGCGCTGAGTTATTCAGTTGCGCAATTGAGTCCCTGAAGCTTTTCTTTTATGTTCAAGAAAACAGTAATGCTTGATTTCTCCGTATATTATCGCGTGATGATTACTGCGGGTTCATCGAGGTGTTCCGAAAGCGATTCCGAGGTGTTGAAGCCACGGAAATGAATCGGCGATTGTGGCTGAGTTGGCGAAGGATCGTGAAACAGAAACTATCGCTCATCGTCGAAACAGAACACATGGACAGGAAAACTGCTTTGGCGATGGATAAGCATGTTGCTAGTTGGGTCTTGAAATATCTCGGCATATGGCCTATCGTGACGAAAAACATCCAGCATTGTTCAAGAAGCATTCTTGCAGTTGAGAACACGCAACACGCAGGACATTTATCTGCTGAGCATTCAGACTATTCAAGCATGGATGAAGGACATATTGATATGTACATGAACGATGCTGAAAAAGGTTTGTTATTATCACTTGAATATAAGAGGAGAGTTTACAGCGGTTTCGAAGGTATTCGGTAATCCTAAAAGTGAGTCACTTTTTTTGTGAAAATAATGTGTGAAATGTAGCCTTGGAGATTCTAAGCGGTTTTCCAAGGATGAAAATGCAAAATTTTGCGATTTCGCTTAAATGAGAGGGACTGCCGACACAAAATATCAGACCGGAGAGGTAATTGTGCGATTGGCGCTGAGAAGAGGTGAGTTTTCTAATCGAATTCAGTAGATTTCAACTACAGTACTATATTTTTAAAGAAGCTGGTGAAATGTAAAACATTCCTTTCATTTTGTAAATGTATTGGTAATATTTTCAGAGTGTTTGACAAATTTGATAGGTCACTGTATGTTAAAATGTGAACAATTTTCGTTGATGGTAAGAAAGCATCTCCATTTTAATTTTTTCAAACTTTCCAAAGTGGTCACAGGTAAATCTATTCGCTTTCATTCTCGATATCTTTTTTCTGAACTCTGGTAATTTTTGCAGAATTCATATAGATAATCTACTGATTCTTGATTCTGACATCTGTACTGACTCAATTTAGCCTCTTTTTAATATTCTAAATGTAAGTATATCTGGTCTTCCAGTTCTTCATTACGGCCATATATATTGTATTTTTCGTAAATTACGTCAGGTTAGTCGAGAGTTGAGCCATGTACAGTAATTACTCTTCCTTTCCCGCAATAGAAATTGTTGGGCATGCACGCTGTAAAATACTTTATAAACTCAATTCCCAGGAGCATTTCCCCCTCCTCAAAAATCGCAGTGCCAGGAACATCCTGGTACTGCAGCGACCTCGTACAGCTTCTTGTATTTTGATTTCCCTAATAAAACCCTGTGAAGGTACAAGAAATAATTGTTAATGTAAGCTGCTCGTTTTAAGGAGAGTTAGAGTAAAATATAACTGTGCCAGAGTTTTATTCAGTTATCCAAAAGCCCGAGCTCGTGGTCAAGTTGTTTTTTTCCTGCCTGTGAAATACAGCGTTATTCCCAGTAGGAATTCCAGACTGATTCATTTGTTCCATAAACTACTCGACACTAAATTATATTGTTGGAAAATCTGTCCTCAGAAATTTTTGTTTCTCTGATTTCAATCTTCCCTGACTCGGAATTTTTGGTTGGTCTCTTTTGAAGTTGGATTTGGAAAGTTCCCAATGTACTTAACTTTTTAATTTTGATAAGTTTCTCCCGAAAATTATTTTTTTTTGGAAGGTTTTTCCTGATTTTTTAAATTCACAGCGCAGGGTGTCTTTTGTATTACTTGTACCGTATATACTGTAGTGAGGTTTGATCACCTATAAATGTCATTTTGATATGGAATATTTTCTGGAATTTCGACAGCTGCAGGCAGATGTGGAGAAAATCGTTTGGGAGATTTTCTGCGAAACAACAAGACCCGCGGAAAGGCAGGAAAAAGGATCGTTCGTCTTTGCCTTCATTACTCAACAGCTTGACAGCAGTATATATAGTATCAGATGTTGTTTCATTTTTGTTCCGTCTCAACTTTCAGGAGACAAAAGAGTTTCCTTGAGACTCTATAGGTTTTATTGCCGTAGAAAAAAAAGTTGAAAAAATCTTGCCTCGACGACCCCTTTGGCGTTCCCAGAATTGGCGATATATTGGCGCGCAGAAATGCTCTCCCGCCGTTTTGCTGGGGCCTTTTAACATTCTCGCGTTTCTGCGTATGCATCAGCAGTATACAGCAGTATTGGGTTTCTTGGCCTTTTTGGAGCCGCGTGGTTCTCATATGCTGTACGGCAGTGTTCCCCAATAACCTCTTTGCGGCAAATTCCTCAAAATGCTTNGAAAGTTCCCAATGTACTTAACTTTTTAATTTTGATCAGTTTCCCCCGAAAATTATTTTTTTTTGGAAGCTTTTTCCTGATTTTTTAAATTCACAGCGCAGGGTGTCTTTTGTATTACTTGTACCGTATATACTGTAGTGAGGTTTGATCACCTATAAATGTCATTTTGATATGGAATATTTTCTGGAATTTCGACAGCTGCAGGCAGATGTGGAGAAAATCGTTTGGGAGATTTTCTGCGAAACAACAAGACCCGCGGAAAGGCAGGAAAAAGGATCGTTCGTCTTTGCCTTCATTACTCAACAGCTTGACAGCAGTATATATAGTATCAGATGTTGTTTCATTTTTGTTCCGTCTCAACTTTCAGGAGACAAAAGAGTTTCCTTGAGACTCTATAGGTTTTATTGCCGTAGAAAAAAAAGTTGAAAAAATCTTGCCTCGACGACCCCTTTGGCGTTCCCAGAATTGGCGATATATTGGCGCGCAGAAATGCTCTCCCGCCGTTTTGCTGGGGCCTTTTAACATTCTCGCGTTTCTGCGTATGCATCAGCAGTATACAGCAGTATTGGGTTTCTTGGCCTTTTTGGAGCCGCGTGGTTCTCATATGCTGTACGGCAGTGTTCCCCAATAACCTCTTTGCGGCAAATTCCTCAAAATGCTTCTATATACGAACCAGCAACAATTCATGAATTGTTTATAGACTCGAAAAAGCTTAGCTTGAAAGAGTTTATGCTGGTAGCAGGTATTCAAAAAGTTTTAAAAAAAATTTAAACTCAAATGAAGCAGTTTTATGCGTATGAAAAGCAACAATTCATGAATTGTTTATAGACTCGAAAAAGCTTAGCTTGAAAGAGTTTATGCTGGTAGCAGGTATTCAAAAAGTTTTAAAAAAAATTTAAACTCAAATGAAGCAGTTTTATGCGTATGAAAATGTCTTCCAACGATTAGAAAGATGGACTTGAAGAAAGGTTTCTCAGGATGAAAAAATATAATAAATTATTTTACCATGCGAAAATTTGTCTGAAGTGCGTGTTGGGACGAGAAAAGCCAACTTTTATTTTTTCATCAGATAATTGCAACTGTGCGATTGTCTTTTTAAAATTTCGGATACAGATAATAACGGACTTCATTGCTATTCTTTTGATAATTCATTATATGCTTCAGAAAATTTCCTGGGTTTGGGAACACTGCTGTAATAATTCAGCATAACTTATTCAGACGAGGCTTTTTATTATATGTAGCATTTGATGAAAAATTCGCTTACGGTAGTTTTCGTTTCAGGTCTCTTATTCGATTCGATTCAACATTATAGAGCTTTTCAGGATGACTTCATCTGATGTGAAATTAAGCAAAACCATGTCGTGGCTTTTGCGACACGGTGCTCTGAAGGTAGGTGTTAGGATTTCTTCTGACGGATTTGTGAGAGTCGGTGACATTCTTTCGCGAAAAGAATTTGCGGGTTGTACTATGAAAGACGTTCAACGCATTGTCGAGATGGACAATGGATTGCGATTTTGCCTGAGGGAAAGATGCGGCACTTACGAAATCAAGGCCTATCAAGGTCACAGCATAAGGGTAAGTCTTATACTCCGAAGTTTTTATGGATGATGATTCACAGCAAATACGAAGTCTGAATACATTGCATCGGGATTCGAGTAACGAGCCGAATCCTTAATTTCCAGAGGTAGTGATTGGTTCGTTGCTCTAAAATAAGTTATATGCTGTAAGTGAATATACAGTATTTCCCATTTATACGAGGGTTGGTTTGTAACCCTTGGGTTGGTCAGTGTTTTTCTTGCTTTTCTACTTTATTCACTTGAGGTTCGCTCTTCACGTAAAGTTTATTTTCGTCAAGGCAAAACGGCGTCAGAACCGGGTTAGTTCTGTAAAACAGTCGTTCGTACCTCAGGGCGTTCGTTGCTCAAGGCACAATTTCTGTGTGAGCAAAATTTAAAGTTCCGAACAGGTTGAAGATCTGGAGTTGTTGCCAGTGCTGTCGAAGGAAGAAATTGCCGGAGAACTCGTTCATGGAACGTACGAAACGAAGTGGGAGAAAATTAAAGAAGAAGGAATCTGTTATCATACTCGAAATCAAGTCCACATGGGGGTGGATTCATGTGCCGGGAAAATCGATGAAGGGAGAGAAATTCCGGGAATCCGTTCCTCGAGTGAAATTTTAATTTATATCGACCTGGAAGCAGCACTTCGAAGTGAGTTCTGCTGAAGTCCTGAAGAATTCTTTCGAAATGGAATGTTTTGTATACGCTGTACAGTGGTGCCTCGCCGTACGACCGCTCCGTCCAACGACGGATCCGCCGTACGACCATTGAAAACTCTAAAAAAATGTCCCGCCCAACGACCATTGTCCCGCCAAGCGACCATTTTTTGATGGGCAGGCAACTTGAATTTTGACTCGAAAAAAAAAATTTTTCTTCCCCAAACACCCTACTAACTTATTTTTCACATTCTTTCAAAGAAATAAGTGAAAGATAATACTTTGGTAAAAATTTAGGATGTCACCAAAGAATGCAAAAAAACAGGAGAAATCTTCCATCCATTTGGAAATTCATTCTCTTTTTTTCTCACTTGATTCTCTCAAAAAATGTAAAAAATAAGTCAGTAATCCAATTCCTGGCACACAAAAATGCAAATCAAAAATGGAGTTGCCAGCACAGCAAATTTTTTCTGGCCTTCCCTTGAACTAATAAGTATACAGTAAAAGTAAAAAAAAAGTATGCTGTTCTTTCTTCCTCCCAACAAAAATGTTTGTTTATCAAGCATTTTTGTTGAGGGAAAGTGAGAAGAACAGAAGGAAATTGTAATTGGTGATATCCTAGGCCAAAAATTGCTGGAATTGATAGCAATTTGTTCTTCCTGCAAAAGTGACATCTATGCAAAATTACACAGGAGGTTCAACTCCTGCTTCACCCATAGATGTCGCATATGCATGAAGTACAATTGCTATTAATTTCCTGGGTTATTATTGAAAGGCAGCAAGGCAATTTAGTAAGAGAAAGCATTTGAATGAACTGTAGCAATGTTTATAAGGATCTTTGCTTTGTAATTTGAAAATTTAGGCAAATTTTTGCATTTTTCTGTCAGAAATTTTTTTTCAGGGAACCAATTGAAGGGATTTCCCTTAAACCTTAAGGGAAAAAGTGTTCCGCCGTACGACCGTTTCACCCAACGACCATCGCCCAGGAACGAATTGTGGTTGTTGGGCGAGGCACCAGACATATATATATACATAAGCAACTTGACAAAAAAAAATCCACCTTGAGCTAAAAAGTTTAACGGTTCACCTCATTAGGACTCGGGCCTGCACTATTTGGGCTTTAAAAAGTACTTTCACAACTTAGTAAAAACAGGAGAGGATATTTTGAATCAAACGATGAGGTATGTGGCGGAATAATTCGGTATGTTGAAGTACCGCCACGCCCCACAAGAAATTCATCATGGAAGAGAGGAGTGAAAACCATAGAACCCTTGCACTCTTGCAAAATTTTTTCAATATTCTTTTTATTCCTGAGTCTGCTGCATTTATTATTATTCCAATCGTTTTCTGATATTCTTTTTGTGTGCTGTGTTCTGTGAATCAATTAATCTTGGGGTTAAAAGAAATATATCTTTTTCTTTGGGATCTCCTGAACAAGATCCACAGCTGAGTGAAGTGTTTTATTTCCGAATTCCGGCTTTTTGTACCATTTTGGTCTCAAGGTAAAACATATGAAAAAACTTTTGCTATTAATGTGTGTGGCTTCAGATTCTTTTAGTAACTTACAGTTGCCCTTCTTTTTAAATTTGTGCTATTCTTAAGTCAGCAGTACTCTGGTTTTGAATTGATGATTTTGCAAGCTTTTTGCGCACAAAACAAAGCCAAAATAATGTATTTTTGGCAATCTGTCCACAGATTGAAGTGTGTGTGTGTCCCTGATGGTAATGCATATTTTTTGGGATAAGGGAGCTCAAAATCGGTCCTACAGAAATTTCTGTTGCCTTTATCTTTGTTATGAAATCCATTCAAGTGATGAAAATTCTATTTCAGAATTCCGCAAAATTTCAAATCGGTTCTTATGATGAGGGACGCCGCAGGGAAAAAAGTGATGGGGTTGCTGATTTCATCTGATGAACTTGTGTTGTAGTGAATTGCATTATTTGTGGAAGTGTATTCGCGAGACGGAATGTCGAAGCAACTGAAACGCACACGTTTATTGTAGAGCGTTTTTAATAGTCTCTCCGTCGTCCCATTTTTATAACTGTACTGCATTGCTTTGATCAGCACGCACACTTGAATAAAATATTTTGAACAAAAAATGCTGTTCTCATTTCTTGCATTCTTGGAATGTCCAAATAGGTCCAGTGTATGCCATACTGTACTACAAAATGTGTACTACAGTATTTAAAGACAGGGTGCGAAACTCTGAACGGTTCATTTGAAAGATGTATGCTAAGGAAAATACTGTCTTGGAGTACGGAACTGCCAAACATTTCAATAAATTTTTCTACATTTCTCATTACAGTGTACCGTTAAAAATGTCCTACTGTCACGTACAGTATTGATACGTTCTTATTGTTTCTTCGCACGAAATTCGAGTCCCGCTAGATGTCGCTAGCTGTTGGCACGGTATATGTATTGGATTGTCAGGGTTTGTTGAGTCATTCTAGCATTTCGGAAACAGTGTTCTTCGAACCTTCCGAACGAATGCATCTACTGTGCATTGGACAAGTAAACGAAACATTTGCGGACTACAGTGCAAATAAATGCGCTGGGGAACCAACCAAGCAGTGACTTCGATTTGAATTAATTGCAGCTGTACCTTGTATATAGTGATGCCGATTTTTCCAGCCTACGTAATACAGTACTTCCAAGGCAAGTTCTGTTCGGATGTATCCTGACGTGGTTATTTGTAGTCAATATGTACTGTATTTCAGGTGGATTCTCTACAACAAAATTTGATGGACTAGAAATTTTTTTACATGTTACAGGGGTTTGAGGGAACTATTATGTAACGGAGAGAGAATCCTATGGGACAAAGCAAGAAAGGCTTTGTACAGGGAAAATTACTGTTAAAATTGTGAAGAGATTCTTCCTACTCAGAAGTTAACCTGTTAATAAAGTATAGTACTAGGTCGTCTGGAGTGACAACCGCGGTCGACGTCAGAAATTATCTGCTTCGTGGGAAACGCGTGAGTGGACTTCTCGCCGCAGCTCACATACCTGCTACACCGGGAAACGATATTGACAGAACGCGACCCAGCGATGATTCAATATATTTTTTTTTCGTTGCCATTTACTGTTGTAAACACTGTGTGTATAATATGCTCTTCTCAAAATACGCTTGAGAAAATTAATTTATTTGTTACATACCTGGTTGCGGACTTACACTTCCGCCAGGATTTTTTCAGGAACGTGCTGGAAACGCATGCCTTCCGTTGAACGGGAGATGCCATGTCGTGCTCATCTACAGTTTTATGGCCGTCGATTGACGGCGCTGTCGAGTTCCGCGACAGCTGGGGACTCCTGAGTAATTGTCGCCGGTCGTAAAGTAATTTCCCCAATCCCACCCAGTTCAGAGCAAGGATTTACGACTCTTTCCTGAGGATAGACAAGCCCAATGGTGGAGCTTTTCCTGTAGGAATCGCCAGCTTTCCCCTTACGAAACGATTCCAAGAATTTGCGCACTGATTTTTGGGCGTTAAACGGATTCTCCTCATGCGAGGAGAATTAGCTTACTGTGATGAATGGGCGGCACTTTGGTATTGGTTCGCGCAGCTGTTGCTGGAAGACAAGACTAAACGTCTTCTTTTCCTGCAGGCTTGTTTATTGCCCTTCGTATCTCTAGCGTCGAATCTGCTCAACATCTCGTCTTTCGGCAAGCCAATTTCCCGCCAATCGCGCCTTCTTTCTTCTCGAAAAATCCGTTCTCGGCAAAAGTGCGTGGAAGATTTCTTGTTACTGTATAGCGGAGCTGCGACGGGAGAGTTAGTTGGTATTTGGCAACCTTCAATCTAGAATTTCGTTTTTATCGAGATCCTGACAAATTTTTGTTTGACTGAAAACATTCTTGGATGTCGTATTTTGATTTGTGGAATTGATTTTTTTTTATTGTGTTCAGTGTGCAGTGAACATTTTTTCGCATCACTTAGATGACTTACTATCATCGTCAACGCGAAACCTGAAGGTGATGCACGTTCTTGCCTTGAATTCGGGTTCGTGAATTGAAAACAGTCAGCGATCACTCCATATTGTCGTTTAAAAATCACCGGCGTGGAACACAAGCATAAATAGACAGAGGAATACGATCAGAAGACTCTTCATTTTGATGCTTGACTACCATGATTGAAAGGCTAACAGTTTTAGAATTTCTGTTAGTTGGTGTCACTTTCAAATTATCTACAGCAGCAGTCGAGAAGGGATGCGGGCGGCTTTATTGATCTTAATTATATTTGTCCAGTTGTAAATTGCGTCTTGTATTTCAGAAAACAAGCATGCTTGATTTTCAATGTATTATTGCGGGTTCGTCGAAGTATCCCGAAAAAGATGTCGGCGTTATTAGAGCGAAAGAATTTTCCGCAGCAGAGAGTTATTGAGGAACAGGAAGTGACACTCATCATGGTATAGGAACAGGTAAACTGCACCTGATGCAAAGAATTATCGGGAGTGTACCGTATATTTCCTGCTTTTCTTTTTTCTCATGTACAGTACTGTAATTCGAGTGTTTTTTCTTTGTTATCGTGCTGAGATGATTACGCGGCGGCTTCATGCTGCTGGTAAGGTACTTGTTAAAAGAAGAAGTGAAATATGTCGAAGCGAAGGAATTAAATTGGCCATTGTATGCGCTGATTTCAGTTGCGCAATTGAGTCCCTAAAGCTTTTCTTTTATGTTCCAGAAACCAATCATGCTTGATTTCTCCATATTATCGCGTGATGATTACTGCGGGTTCATCGAGGTGTTCCGAAAGCGATTCCAAGGTGTTGAAGCCACGGAAATGAGTCGGCGATTGTGGCTGAGTTGGCGAAGGATCGTGAAACAGAAACTATCGCTCATTGTCGAAACAGGACACATGGACAGGAAAACTGCTTTGGCGATGGATAAGCATGTTGCTAGTTGGGTCTTGAAATATCTCGGCATATGGCCTATCGTGATGAAAAACATCCAGCATTGTTCAAGAAACATTCTTGCAGTTGGGAACACGCAACACACAGGACATTTATCTGCTGAGCATTCAGACTATTCAAGCATGGATGAAGGACATATTGATATGTACATGAACGATGCTGAAAAAGGTTTGTTATTATCATTTGAATACTGAGACAAAGTCAATGACAAATATATTCTACACTGATTTTGAATTCCGTATTTGCTCCAATAAATGCTGTTGAGGGGGAAAATTCCTCAAAATAATAGATGAAAGCAGAAATAAGAGTGATTAATCCATACAAGATAAAATCAAAAAAATTACTTGTTGGGCCCCACAAGAAATGCCCCAAGCATCTATTTTTCACCGGTGGACTATCTCTACAATTATCTTGTCTATACAGCTATATTCTCTGATGTATAACGAATATTTTTTGGGTCCCAAAGGCGGGTTCCTATACATTAGTTCTCTACTACAAAATTCTTTCTACGACATATGTTTTTCTGGCCCCTTGCATTTTGTTGCAGTAAGCTCATGTGCATAATGCGCTTCCTCCTGGCTTTCAAACAGAATTATATAAATTATAGAGGCACTTAGATCACTTTCCTTTCCGTAGACCTGACCCTTATATATGAGAGACATGCTCCTATTGCTGGAGACCATGAGACATTTATTAGAGCAAATGCGGTACTTTGAACTAACAATTATAATATGGAGCATTATATGTTGCAGAGCTACTGCGTATTGCTATTGAGAAAGCGACCACAGAAGTGAAGACCAGTTCACGGGAGATGATGGATTTTGAAGTAACCCTTGAGGCTGGAAAGGAGAAGTTCATGGAGACCACCACGGAGCTCTGCAATATTTTCATGGAATTCAGAACAACTTGTGAGGCCTTCGAGAACAATGCAATGCGGGAAATCAACGAGTTCGATTGCATTTTAATGAGCTGGAGCGCATGCGTTACTGAAGGTCCGCATTTTCTGGATGCAATTAAAACTGGAAAAGGTTTTTTGGATATAAGTAAGGAAATTTTGCAATGACTATAATTTACTTGAACGGAATTTATACTGCAGAAGGAAAATCTCGGTCAACAAATATATAGGTTGGGGCAAAAAAAAAGTGGAACAATTTTTGACTTGAAGTAGCTCAGTACAGTATAGCAAATTGAGCTGTAGCAAATGAAAAAAACACTAAATGAAAGCTTGTTAAATTTCCTTTATAATGGCTTGTAGTTTTATGGCCCAAACGAAATACCATTCAAGATGAGGGAATTGAACAAGCTTTCTTTTGGTATTTTTCTCATATTGCCATAGCTCAATTTGCTACCAAGCTATTCTAAGTAAAAAATTTGTTGATTTTTTTGTCCACACTGTAGTAGGGACCTCCAAGAAATTTTTGCCAATTATTTATCGTGAGAAAATTACGAATTGTAGTGTATTATTGTAGTATAATCTGCATTACTGAATTAACATTTTAGACTTGATTCCTGAAATCCGAGATCAAATTCTCTAAAATTTTCTGGGTATATCATAATGTTATCAAGCAAAACGATCAAGTATTGGAGCGTAAGACAGCAAAGAATTGTCACCTCAAAAATTATAAATGATTCTCCTGTACAAAATAGTTTTTGTCCAATATTTTTTCTTCCGAGTTTATAGTGAGTAATGATTCAAAATTGTTACCTTGAAATAAAAGAAAAAAAATGTGATAGTCGGTAATAATAAAACCGATATTGAGCCACCATAAATTAATTTAAGGTATTCTTCGTAGTTCAGAAAATTCACATCAAGATTTCTATAGAATTGTTTCCATTATGCTACTGCTACGATTTTCGCAAAATTTCGTCAAGGAGGATAATCATCTGTATGGAATTATGTCCTTCGATCTAACCCCTATGTGATGTGTTTTAGATTTGCAAGTGACTGCTTTGAAGATATTCATGGAGAGACTGAAGACCAACATGAAGTCAGTTACGGAATCCGAAGAAAGAGTGGGGGAACATTTTAAACAGGCATGTGAAGAGCTCCGCAGCATTCGTATGGAATTCGAAGCGACTTGTGACCTCAAAAGGGAACATTTAAAACGAACAGTCCGAGAGCTCAGTTGCATTTTCTTGCACCAGGATTCTCTGATGGATGAAGATCTACAACATGATCTGGACGCAAGTAAATAACCTTTTCCACACACAACTTAGTTCAGCTTGAAACTCCCAGGTCTCAAACAACTCTTTTTGCTTCTTAATGTATTTTAACATGACCTCTTATAAGACCCTGAACGACTTAACAAAAAATCTAAACTTGACAAAATGCTGAACTTGGAAACAAGGGTTCATTTGCCCGATTAATTTTTTCCTTCCTTTCAAAACGCATTAAGTTAAATTTTGTATTGCTTTTCTATTCGCTGTTTCAATAAGGCCTCCAGCAGAAAATTCGAGTTATGGTGGGCGAACGTCTTATTGGAGTTAAGGAGTTCTTAATTCATTTTTTCTTTCGAAATTCAGATAGGGACTCCAAAATATTTGTCATCGGAAGGTTCGAGTTGTCAAGTACAGTATTCAATTACTGTAAAAACGCTGTTTTTGTATATGCTGAATTCAAATGGTCGAATATTCTTGAATTTTTTTAGAGCTGCAGTTTACGGCTGTGGACATCTTCTCGGACAGATTAAAGACCAGCACAAGGATAATGGTTGAATCCTTCAAAGCAACTTGCAGGGCTTGCTTAGGGGAAATTGAGGAGGCAATCCAAGAAGTGAAGCGGGCACTTCAAAGGGAAATGGAGCTGAAGCAGACGGTGTGAGAAGTTGGAAAACTTGAGATTGAAGACGGACAATTGATTGTGGGACAACTGTGGCATTTCTGGGCATCTTATTCCCTGACATTCGACCAACTTATTTTGCGAATCTTTTTTATCGTGTTGTGTTCACTTGTGTATTCTTTTTTTGGTAAATATTTACAAAACATTTTCTTAAAAGTTATGGCAACATCCGAATGAATTGACATTGCCGCTTTTTTCATTATGATTTTTACTCACCGAAAGAATTAGGATTTTCTGTTATGAAAGAAATTGTTGACCATTGTTGGGCTCACTTCCAACAAAGGGATAATCCTATGTTATATATAGAGCCATCAGGTTTTTCACGTGTTGAAGAACTTATGCGCTTCCTTCTCAAAGCTGTTTATTGTAATCTGACTGATTGGCCAGTTTTAGTAAGATTCCAGTTGGTTGATCCGCTCAGGTAAATTTAGATTATTCAAGTTCGATTTGTTGTTCTCCCGTAAAGGACGAATGGAATAATCAAATGATTTCCTTCCTATCCTGCTATTAGCCGAAATTATGGAAAAGGAAGTACCTGTAATATGATGAACAACTTACAACCATAATGAAAGAGACTTGGTCATAGCTTTGCCAAGCTCAATTTCAGCGAGGCTCCTGATGGGAAGATGAATCACAGTTAGGTGTGGTTTGAGACTTTGGAAGAGAATGAAAACGTCACCAAAAATAACTAACGCATTCAGAGGTTGAAGCAAGAACTCTGGTAGACGAGTAATGAGAAATCTGAATGATATTTCAAACATTCTTAGTACAGTATACTTAACTAAGTTGAAGCCACAATAATAAGTGTAATACTAATGCATTAGATTCATGAGGTGCTGTGTGTATAAGACTGTTTTAAATGTGCTACAATCCTAGAAAAGCCCTGGATGTGCATATGACAATAACTCACCCATTGTTGATTTTCATCCGCTCTGATTTAATCATACTTTTTTCCTCATTGAAAAGCAAGAGTTGGATTTAAATTAAGGCTCTGTATATTCTTCATAACCTCATCGACAAAATGTTGCCTGCGACTGCTGTTTGCAAAGAGGACATTTATATACAGGTGGACTCTCCTCAATAATATTCAAGGGACCAGAGAAAAATGTTTGTAGAAAACCTTAATAACATGGAGAGAGATTTGTCTGTTTGGTGCGAAAATTTCATAATTCTTTACAGATAAAAATCATGGTAGACAAGATCGTCATGGAGAGAATCTAAATTATCTAGCCAAGGTGTGGAATCTTATGCCAATGAATATTATCACACAATGAATCCTTGTACATATAAACACATATAATATTACAGGAAAGGTTTATACTGTACAAGTTAGCCGATTGATAAATTAGGCCTATACAATAAATAAACAATAAAATATATGTAAGCTGAATTGGATGCGGAAGCTGGAATTTCGTAAATATTTAGCGTATTTGATATTTTCAAAATAAAGTGGAAAATTGGGCAGAATATTGCCTTGGCATTTTGAAAGTGCTGGTTTCGTAATGAAAGAAAAAGTGACGATTTCTTTGGATGGCGTTGTGGATATTCGTGAGCACTGCCTTGCGACATTGATCGTATTTTCTGGACAACTTCTTTTGTTTTTATTAGGTAATTGCTTTCATGCGTCTGCAGCGATTTGCAGGATGAATCCGGAAATGGAATTATGCGAAAGCCTGAGCAGGCTTCTGAGACACGGAGGTTCCAAAGTCGGTTTGCCGATTTCATCTGACGGATTTGTGCGAATAAGTGACATTCTTCGTCTGAGGGGATTTGCGAAATGGAACTTCGAAGACGTTTTTTGTGTTGCTGAGCAGGATAAAATGACGAAATTTTGCATGATAGAAAAAAATGCGGGTGTTTTTGAAATCAGGTCTCACCAGAATGCACGTGACGTACAGCAGGTAATGTGATTATTTGCTTGTATACTTCATATTATGTCAGGATCGGTTCTCAAATTTTGCTAATTTTCCGGAACAAAATTCTGCTTATACACCATCAGCAACTGATATGAAATGCTGAATGCAAATCTACCAAAAAATTGAAATTTATCAAAATGAANTTATTGGAAAAGGTGTGTGTTGAATCAAGTCGAACTTTGAGGGTCCAGAGTTTGTTGAGAAAAACGAAGAATTACATAAAATTGTACTGGAGAATATTCTGGGACTTGCTGAATTGTTTTTTAGATTGTACTTGACAAAATGCTGAACTTGGAAACAAGGGTTCATTTGCCCGATTTATTTTTTCCTTCCTTTCAAAACGCATCAAGTTAAATTTTGTATTGCTTTTCTATTCGCTGTTTCAATAAGATAAATGGTCAAAAGGCCTCCAGCAGAAAATTCGAGTTATTGTGGGCGAACGTCTTATTGGAGTTAAGGAGTTCTTAATTCATTTTTTCTATCGAAATTCAGATAGGGACTTCAAAATATTTGACATCGGTAGGTTCGAGTTCGAGTACAGCAGTATTCAATTAATATAAAAAAGCTGTTTTTGTATATGCTGAGTTCAAATGGTCGAATATTCTTGAATTTTTTAGAGCTGCAGTTTACGGCTGTGGACATCTTCTCGGACAGATTAAAGACCAGCACAAGGATAATGGTTGAATCCTTCAAAGCAACTTGCAGGGCTTGCTTAGGGGAAATTGAGGAGGCAATCCAAGAAGTGAAGCGGGCACTTCAAAGGGAAATGGAGCTGCAGCAGACGGTGTGAGAAGTTGGAAAACTTGAGATTGAAGACGGACAATTGATTGTGGGACAACTGTGGCATTTCTGGGCATCTTATTCCCTGACATTCGACCAACTTATTTTGCGCGAACAATTTTTTAAATCTTTTTTATCTTGTGGTGTTCACTTGTGTATTCTTTTTTTGGTAAATATTTACAAAACATTTTCTTACAAGTTATGGCAACATCCGAATGAATTGACATTGCCGCTTTTTTCATTATGATTTTTACTCACCGAAAGAATTAGGATCTTCTGTCATGAAAGAAATTGTTGGGCTCACTTCCAACAAAGGGATAATCTTACTGTCATATATAGAGGTTTTTCACGTGTTGAAGAACTCGAAAGCTTTTTCCTTCTCAAAGCTGTTTATTGTAATCTGACCAATTAATATAATCCATTGGCCAGTTCTAGTAAGATTCCAGTTGTTTGATCCAGTCAGGTATAAATCTAGATTATTCAAGTTCGATTAGCTGGCTCACTCATCATAGTTCTCCCATAAAGGACGAATGGGATAATCAGGTGATTTCCTCCCTATCCTGCTATTATCCGAAATTATAAAAAGGAAGTAATTTAATGAACAACTTTCAACCATAATGAAAGCGACTTGGTTATTTTAGCTTTGCCAAGCTCAATTTTAGCGAGGCTCCTGATGGGAAGATGAGTCACAGTTAGGTGTGGTGTCAGGTATATGGTGTGAGACTTTGGAAGAGAATGAAAACGTCACCAAAAATAACTAACGCATTCAGAGGTTGAAGCAAGAACTCTGGTAGAGTAATGAGGAATCTGAATGATAGTTCAAACATTCTTAGTATACTAAACTGAGTTGAAGCCACAATAATAATAAGTGTAATACTAATGCATTAGATTCATGAGGTACTGTGTGTATAAGACTGTTCTAAAAGTGCTAGAATCCTAGAAAAGCCCTGGATGTGCATATGACAATAACTCACCCATTGTTGATTTTCATCCGCTCTGATTTAATCATACTTTTTTCCTCATTGAAAAGCAAGAGTTGGATTTAAATTAAGGCTCTGTATATTCTTCATAACCTCATCGACAAAATGTTGCCTGCGACTGCTGTTTGCAAAGGGGACATTTATATACAGGTGGACTCTCCTCCATAATATTCAAGGGACCAGAGAAAAATGTTTGTAGAAAACCTTAATAACATGGAGAGAGATTTGTCTGTTTGGTGCGAAAATTTCATAATTCTTTACAGATAAAAATCATGGTAGACAGAATCGTCATGGAGAGAATCTAAATTATCTAGCCAAGGTGTGGAATCTTATGCCAATGAATATTATCACACAATGAAACCGTGTACATATAAACACATGATATTACAGGAAAAGTTTATACTGTACAAGTTAGCCGCTTGATAAATTAGGCCTATATAATCAATAAATAATAAAAAATATATGTAAGCTGAATTGGACGCGGAAGTTGGAATTTCCTAAATATTTAGCGTATTTGATATTTTCAAAATAAAGTGGAAAATTGGGCAGAATATTGCCTTGGCATTTTGAAAGTGCTGGTTTCGTAACGATTTCTTTGGATGGCGTTGTGGATATTCGTGAGCACTGCCTTGCGACATTGATCGTATTTTCGGGACAACTTCTTTTGTTTTTATTAGGTAATTGCTTTCATGCGTCTGCAGCGATTTGCAGGATGAATCCGGAAATGGAATTATGCGAAAGCCTGAGCAGGCTTCTGAGACACGGAGGTTCCAAAGTCGGTTTGCCGATTTCATCTGACGGATTTGTGCGAATAAGTGACATTCTTCGTCTGAGGGGATTTGCGAAATGGAACTTCGAAGACGTTTTTTGTGTTGCTGAGCAGGATAAAATGACGAAATTTTGCATGATAGAAAAAAATGCGGGTGTTTTTGAAATCAGGTCTCACCAGAATGCACGTGACGTACAGCAGGTAATGTGATCATTTGCTTGTATACTTCATATTATGTCAGGATCGGTTCTCAAATTTTGCTAATTTTCCGGAACAAAATTCTGCTTATACACCATCAGCAACTGATATGAAATGCTGAATGCAAATCTACCAAAAAATTGAAATTTATCAAAATGAATTGGTGAAGAAACTAGTACAGTTCATTGCATAACAAAGGACTCGTGACAACAAATGATTCGCTTTTTAATTTTCAGGAAATGATACGCTTTTTAATTTTATTTTCGAATTTTTTCTAGCTAGGAAATGTACACATCTCCGCAATTTTTGGTTCGAAATTTGGATTTTTTTCGTTGAAAAGCGTGAAGTGTGATCTTTTATACTGCTCCAAATACCAATTGTAAATTGAAGAAAGGTTAAAGCTTTAAATTTCCAGAACTCCATTTCCAAAAATTAGTGTAAACGCAAAATTTTGTATTTATACAGTAGACACGCTATTAATTATGCATGTTTATCAAGTATGTTCGTTTTTGTGACTCCCTGGAAAAACGAAAAGAATTTTCTACCATAATTAAAGGGAAATCACGCTTCATTGCATGATGTAATTTTGAATAACACAATTCTTGCTTAAATTAATAAGCATAGTTTCAGATTCATGAAAATGCAGGAATCCAGCTGATCATCTGGGTTTTATTAAAGATTGACTATGCTGGTATAGTAGTTCTTGTGTGATTTTTATTTTATCCAATTCTCCCCTTCAAATAAATGCTTACAGCCGAATGATTTTCTCATGAAAATTATGATACTGTAATTGTGAAAAAAGAATAGATCTTCTAATTCAAGTAATGGAATAATTTGATCCTTTTAAAATTGGTTCAAATATAATTTTCCATGTTGAATTTCATCATCTGCATCAAATGTACACCTCACCAGCACTTCTTGACTTGGCTGGAGTTCTGGGATATAAACACGAAATCCCTCATCCTTTTTCAAACCATTATTTATGCTTTCTCATGCACCTTTCTATTTACGACAGTTCCCTGAAAATCTGGACTTTTTATCTCTGCTGACAAAGAAGAAAGACATTATTCCTGACGAGGAACTCTTCGGAACCTACGAAGAAGCCGCTAATTCTGGAAGAAAATGGGTGCTAGATCCATCTTTCAGAATGGAAAAATCTCTGGCTTGGATTCTGAGGGAAGGTGACCCGGAATTCGGGATACAAATTCCTTCTGGTGATGGATTTATGGAAGTGGACGACATTCTCTCACATCGAGAATTTTCGCGATGGAGGTTGGAGGACATTAAAGTGATCGTTGAAAAGGACAAAATTCGGCGATTTCATCTGAGGAAGAATCGTGCCGGTGCATACGAAATCAGGGCTAACCACGGCCATAAATTTCCTGTGAGTTTTTTTAATATTTTTTTAATTTAATATGTCATTATATCTGATTAGTTTTTTTCATATGAAACTTCGATAAGGAACCCGTGAATTTTTTTACAATGATATTACAGCAAAATCTTGATTTTTTTTCTGAAATAAAAAATTGATTTCTTAAAAATTAAGTGTTTTGGTCATGTGAGGTACAGAATCAATATTAAGCGAACAACATTTTATTAATGCAACAAAAACTTTTCACCATATCCCCCACATCATCCGCTAGAAGATATTTTCAAAGTTTGATCAGTAATTTTCTGTAATAACCATTTTCTAACCAGCTGTGATGATAGACTAGGTAAAGATTGTTACTTAAATTCATAATTTTTCCAATTTTAAGGCAGGAAGTAAAATTAGAAGCAGAATTGATGAATTATGGTATATGTAACAATAAAGAAACCACCCAGAAAATTAATTTGTTGTCAAATTTCCAGGGACCAGGAAAAAAAATCGACTTAGGACAGCTTTGACTTAGGGAGTTCTTGATTTTCGGTAGTTTCCAATCAAGGAAACAAACATTTCCATTGGGAGGAGAAGTGAAAAAATTGCAGGATCTGGTGAATGAGGATATTTTGGGCCTAAAATTGCTTCCAACTGAGTTTACACCTTGCTGAACTTTGAGACAGGGGTTCTTCTTGGTTCATTTGCTCCATTAGTCTTTCACACTCCCTTCCAAGATGCATCAAATCATTCATCTTATTGATTTTCTCTTTCATATTTCATGGAAATAATAACTGAAAGGCCTCAGCAAATTTGACTTACAGAGGTTTTAGAAAAATAAAGACTTTGAGTTAGGGAGGTTTTTAATACATTGAATCAAAGGGTATTTAAACAGGGACTTGAGAAAATTGGACATAGGTAGGTATTTGACTTAGGGATGAGGTTCAACTTATCAAGGTTCAACTGTATTTGATTGTTGCAATTTTGCCACAAGAAGATTTTTTTTGCATATGCTGTTCTTGCTGGTGCTGTTTCTGTTATTGGAAACTTGGTAATTTTTTTAAATCAGTTTCATAGCATAGTGTTTTTATTATGGAATTTCTTCTATTTTTATTGAAGTTGCATTTTTAATAAATATGATATTTGACGTGAATTTTCATGCATAATATTTTTTGTTTCTATATACTTGGAGGGTTTGTTCTGCAAATTCGATGCCAACTAGGTCTCGTTTTTTCAGCATCGTGGTAATGAAAAAATATTTAAATTGATAACCCATGAGTTCAGAAAAATCGTTAATCAAGATGCTATTGTTGCTCATCATGAAAAATTACTGTTTACACCAGCTTTTTGCAAAACTGCTTGATTATACAGTGCACAAGTCATGCAAGTGACAAACATCATTTCCTCACAGTATAGTGCTGATGAAGTGTATTTATTTTTTATTTTTCAAATAACTGTTCACATATGCTCCGCAGCTTGAAAATCTGAAGTTGTCGCCGATGCTTTCAAAGAAAGGCATCCCTGGAGAATTTGTTTATGGGACTTCGAAATTCAAGTGGAAAACAATCAAGTCAGAAGGAATCCGCCCTCTTGAGAACCGAAATCATATTTTCTTGTGGTTGGTTGGTCTCAAAGCAGAAAATCCCGAGATTGAGAAGGAAGAGATTATACGTATCAAACCCTATTGGGAAATTATGATCTACGTGGATATTGAGGCAGCCCTGAAGAGTGAGTTTTTTTGTCCTCTCAAATGTAAACAACTTATTCGTTTTCATTTTGTTTATAATTTTTTTCTTTCAGGTGGAACACGATTCTTCAAATCACCGAATGGACTCTGTATGAGTCCTGACACCATAAAACCGGATTTCTTTGCGAAAGTGTTGAATTTGGTATCCGGAAACTATGTTTTGAATGAATGAAAATTCTGCTGGGTTTTAAATTTGAGCAGATTTGAAATTGTTCTTTTTTACAGGTTTATACTTTTTTCGAGTTCTTTTAGAAGATGATGAAATAATTTGTTTATGTCGCGTACATTTTATGTTGATCTACTGAAAAATTCCGGATTCCTTACGTTTAAATGAAGCCAATAAAAATCAAACTTCGACAAGTGGTTCTGTTTTGTTGAATAAGTGCCAGTTTTTAATCATTTCTGCCTGCTGTGGTTTAAGATGAAAGCTTCACCGAAAAAGAATGAAAAATTAGTCATTTACATCAAATCTAAACATCACATGTTATATAATGCGAGAAGTTCATCTACTCAGCAAGTTGGAAATATGTCTCGAGCGATAGATTTTCCGTCTTTGAACCTGTGAAACCCCGCCAAAAAATCGTAATCTTCGGCAACATGTGTTTTTATCATGTTTATTTGAAACTAGCTTCTTCAAAATTTTCCACAACAGCTGCGACGAAAAGCAGGAAAAGAAAAGCACGTGAGAACAACTAACTTCTTTTCTAATTCCTTGTAACAGGTTTTTTTGAAAGAAGATGTTTTCATCTAGGATCGAAATGAAGTTCAACGTCCAGAACTCGAAGATGAAGAACTGCCTCCACCTCCGCTTGACGAAGAACCACCCTTCTTTGCTTCGGTTGGGGTCAGTCCAATTGCCAAAACAGCAAAAACAACCTGGAATTGGTAGAATAAAAATCCAATAACTTATTATAGTAATTACTTTTGAAAGTGTTTCTATGGTGTAGTGACACATAAATTCAAATACAACTGAGATTTGTTTTTATTTCAGCTATAGCTGGTCAATTTTACCATTTTGGTAAAATTAATAATGGATTATTTTTGGTGAATAAATTTATTTTTACTCAAGCACTTATTACAGATTTCAAGTTGCATTTAAAAAAATTCCAGATGCAAGAGACATCTGAGTGCTGAGACAGTTACCCAGCAGCCTCCAAGGGAATTTAAGTTCAAGTCCAAAATTCCAGTTTTATGACTGCAGAAATAAGGGAATCTGGAGCATCCTCACTCCTTAGATGTTACAAGAGGAATTATTGTTGTCTCATCACAAAAAACATAAAGACAACAATCACACACACAGTCAGCAAATATACTATCTTGCATTGTGGAATAAAAACTTGTCTCCAAAAAGAAATAAAATCAGCAAAGAAAACATGCTTTGCCTATGGTGCAGCAATTCCCAAACACACCAACTTCCAAGGCAAATAACTCCACAAATTTTTGACATAGAAAATTCCACAACATCTTGAATTTAAGCTAAACTGATTTTCTCTAACTTTTCTTCAATCAAATACAAATTGATCAAACTAACAGAATTTGAGATGCAATATTCTCACTTTTCTGAACCTAACTTTTCTTCGGTGATGAGAATCTGGAAAACCTTCATGTCAGATTCTTATCTCACTGATGCACAAGCTTTTGGTGCAAACAGTGACTTCATAATCCTTGTTCCTAATACATGAATGAATTTATTTCTGCAACAAGTACTGTATCATATTATGAATGTGTGATAATTTGTGTGAACTCATATGGCTTATATAATTATTGAAGGTTCAGGGATATATTTCTATGGGATTTTATTCTGTGCACGCCATTATTTAAATTTTAAATACTGTGGCTTATTATATATTCAACCTTATGATCCTCTTTGAGTTAAAGTCTTTTCACGTCAATACATATACAGTATAGCAAGAAAATTTTCATTCCCTCCAATTTTTTGAGCTCCTGAAATTTAATTGATTTGATAGCTCAAATAGCTTCTTTGGGTGCTGAACAAGAAATCTTTCCTATTCTGAGAAACTTGTGAATTCATTGGAGATTATATAGACCCAATTTTCCAGTCTCATTTTTTTATACTCACCAACACATAGGAGAAAGCTTTCTTGAAGTCCATTTTTGCAAAGTGTTCAAACAAGTAACGGCGTTTTTTCCAAAGCTTGAATAATATATTTTCTCACTCAGAAGCTTGAGAACTTATTTGGAAGTGATACCAAATGGATGCTTGTGCGCTGTTTTATACCCAGCGCCAAATCCGGAAATTTAGCGCCAGAGATGTTTGAGTTGCTTCATTTTATTGCACACACCTGGAATTAGCCAACGCCTTTTGGTCCTTTAATTCCCTTTCCGCGCTTCGGTTCGAAGTCTATTATTTCCGTAGTTTGGCAACACGAAAGGTTTTTTTTGCACAGTGTTTGTCTTCTCTAGGTTTTGCCACTCATTGATGTGTCGGTGAGATAAAGAATTGGCCGGTTTTTAAAATAATGGCACACTTTTTTGCTCCGTGGATTTATCAAGTGCAATTTTGCGCTTCGAAGTGAATGTGACTGCTGCGGTCTGGTATACCTTTATGATGCAAAAGATTTCGAAATTCGTAGAAACTTTTACCACATTATTTATATACTCGATGATCAGTATCTTATTTTTACGTGAAAAGCATCTGTTTTGGAGCAAACAAAGATAGCAACAATTCCAGCAAGAAATCTATAATGAAAGTCCCAGAAAGTCGTCCATGAAATATGATCAAAGCAAATACTGTAATCAAGTGCAAAGGAATTGAATCAAATAATTATTTTAGCACATTTAACATATTTGAAGAGGAATGTTAAATACTGTACAGATTGTACATGCCTTTTTTCAAAGGTTTTAGGAATTCTGTACAAAAAAGTCCTTGAATTCATTTTGCAAGCATGACCTGAGTTACTTTTTATCATCTATGAAACATGCAAATACTTCCAAATATTTGGACAATGTTTAACTCGAATTCTTTCACTGCTGGCTGGAAAGAAGTATGGCAGCCATATTATCAGCATCAGCACTTTTCATTTAAAAAAAGGGAATGCTCTTAACAATGCTGTAGTTCAGTCATACCCAAAAATAAGACATCACAATAAATGTGAGTTAATTGCTATACAAAGATAATGGAAAGTATGCCATCAGCACACACAAATTTTCAAATAATTACATTTCCTAACATGTTTTGTTGATCACAGATATGCTGTGCATATTTTCTTCCCTTGGATCATTAAAATATATCGAATGTCAAAGTCAAATTCATCCAAAATACTGTACTTCGTAACCCGTAATAGTTTTTTTTTGTGCCAATTTGTCTTTATATCTGAAATTCATAAAGTCCTTCTTCGTCGTAGGATAATAAAGATTTAAAGCTTTTTAATTTTTTCGAGGGAATTCCTCTGAATTTACGGCATGTGATGTGCTGTATTATTTGATTTTTGTCATCAGCAGAAACATTTATGCATAGAGACTCAAAGTCATGAAAATACTCTTGATGCTGCAGATCTTAATTTATTCACCTGAGCAAGAAAATTTCTATTAAATAATTTACTGTTGAAGATAAAACAAATGAACTGTACATGGTGATTGCTCAAACTTATTATCGCTGATGTTGGACTCAAGAAAATCGTTACATCATCAGTTGAAGTGTCTTGATTATTCCAGAAATGTCTGATGTGATTATATTCCTTGACTTCGGCCGTGGATTTGGAACTTTTCGCCTGTCCAGTTTTTCGGAGGAACTGTTATCATTATTATGTCGCCACTCGTCGTCGTCATATAGAGGCTTTTATTTCAGAGAAAGACTCCGAGGTTAGTGCATTTTTAATTTCTTCGAACTTTCTGTGTTTTTCTTGGGTACTGTATATGTTCATGTTTCCTTCTGTTGTTGGAGACATCTTCGCGGTTTTTGAAATTAATACAGTACCTCGTTAAGAATATTATAATACTGCACTGAATGAGTTCAGAAGCGAAGACAAGTGTTGTCGGGTCGCTATACAAGATGGCGCCAGGCGACCGGAGGATGATCGCCTGCCTTTGACGTCAGAGACGCGTATTCGGCAGCGGGTGTACGCGTACATCAGGAATAAGTCCTTATTGCTACTCAACTGGTTTGCTGCTTCAAGGGAAACCGGTATAGCGAGAAGAAAGGAGAGAGAAATTCTTGGACGTGGAGCTCCTGAAACACAAAATTTTGTCATTCTGAGCGAGTGTTTCAGGTAGGAAGGATCTTGTGTGTTCTATGAGTCTTCTGCGACTGTTCGATGCAGTGTTTGGGTGCTCGTGTGTTGTGATCTTGTAGAAGAATTATTCTTGCCCAGCTAGGTGCACCGCGTTCTCCTTGTTCTGACGATACTTTTTGAATATTAAACCAAGATTTGAAGGGCCCTCTCTATATAAGAGAAATCTGGCTGCATAAGGGCTGATCGAAGTGTATCACTTGTTCTTGAATTTTACAAACCGTTCGTCCATTTACCATCTGACAAGAGTTGGACCAAAGGAGCTTCGCAACACAGAAGATTAAGGTGAGGATTGAAACTGGAGTTTTAGAAAAATGAAACGCATAATCCATGTATAATCCCGGGACACGGGCATGGAATCCTCAAGGGNCTCAGAAGCTTGAGAACTTATTTGGAAGTGATACCAAATGGATGCTTGTGCGCTGTTTTATACCCAGCGCCAAATCCGGAAATTTAGCGCCAGAGATGTTTGAGTTGCTTCATTTTATTGCACACACGTGGAATTAGCCAACGCCTTTTGGTCCTTTAATTCCCTTTCCGCGCTTCGTTTCGAAGTCTATTATTTCCGTAGTTTGGTAACAGGAAAGTTTTTTTTTTTGCAGTGTTGTCTTTGCCACGCATCCGATGTGTTGGTGAGATAAAGAATTGGCCGGTTTTTAAAATAATGGCACACTTTTTTGCTCCGTGGATTTATCAAGTGCAATTTTGCGGGTTGAAGTGAATGTGATTGCTGCGGTCTGCTGGTACCTTTATGATGCAAAAGATTTCGAAATTCGTAGAAACTTTTACCACATTATGTATACTTGATGATCAGGATCTTATTTTTACCTTAAAAGTATCTGTTTTTGAGCAAACAAAGATAGCAACAATTCCAGCAAGAAATCTATAATGAAAGTCACACAAAGCCGTCCATGAAATATGATCAAAGCAAATAATCAAGTGCAAAGGAATTGAATCAAATAATTATTTTAGCACATTTAAAATATTTGAAGAGGAATGAGAAATACTTTATTGTACATGCCTTTTTTCAAAGGTCTTATAGAAGAGGAATTCTGTAAAAAAAAGTCCTTGAATTCATTTTGTAAGCATATGGCCTGAGTTACTTTGTATCATCTATGAAACATGCAAATACTTTCAAATATTTGCACAATCTTTAACTCAAATTTTTTTCACTGCTGGTTGGACAGAAATATGGCAGCCATATTATCAGCATCAGCACTTTTCATTTAAAAAAGGGAATGCTCTTAACAATGCTGTAGTTCAGTCATACCCAAAAATAAGGCATCACAATAAATGTGAGTTAATTGCTGTACAAAATTCTTGGAAAGTATACCATCAGCACAAAAAAATTTTCAAATAATTACGTTTCCTAAAGTGTTCCGTTGATCAAAGATATGTGCATATTTTCCTCACTTGGATCATTAAAATACATCGAATGTCAAAGTCAAATTCATCCAAAATACTTTACTTGGTAACCCGTGATATTTTTTTCTGCCAATTTGTCTTCATATCGGAAATGCATCACGTCATCCTTCGTAGGATAATAAAGATTTAAAGCTTTTTAATTTTTTCGAGGGAATTCCTCTGAATTTACGGCACGTGATGTGCTGTATTATTTGATTTTTGTCATCAGCAGAAACATTTATGCATGTAGAGACTCAAAGTCATGAAAATACTCCTGATGCTGCAGATCTTATTTAATTTATTCGCCTGAGCAAGAAAATTTCTATTAAATAATTTACTGTTGAAGATAAAACAAATGAACTGTACATGGTGATTGCTCAAACTTATTATCGCTGATGTTGGACTCAAGAAAATCGTTACATCATCAGTTGAACCTGAGCAAGAAAATTTCTATTAAATAATTTACTGTTGAAGATAAAACAAATGAACTGTACATGGTGATTGCTCAAACTTATTATCGCTGATGTTGGACTCAAGAAAATCGTTACATCATCAGTTGATCATGCACGATTTTTTATTTATTTATTTGAAATTTCACTATAGAGTGAGGATGACCACGTGATGATCGGTCAACATTCTCGTTAGTGGAGAACTGTGTGATTATACTGGAAGTGCTGTGCGTGCTCATTCGAAAAGTGTCTGATTTGAAAACACAGAACTAATAAGGTCTTTACAGACTACACTAATATAAGGAACTGAAGCCGGCACCTAAACCTTGAAAAGCGGACAGGTCAAAAAGCCTCCTTGACAATAGTAATAATACAGCGGTGAGCAGCAGATAGAGGCTTTTATTTCAGAGAAAGACTCCGAGGTTAGTGCATTTTTGATTTCTTCGAACTTTCTGTTTTCTTCTTGGGTACTGTATATGTTCATGTGTCCTTCTGTTGCTGCATGGAGACATCTTCGCGGTTTTTGAAATTAATTCAGTACCTCGTTGAGAATATTATAATACTGCACTGAATGAGTTCAGAAGCGAAGACAAGTGTTGTCGGGTCGCTATACAAGATGGCGCCAGGCGACCGAGGGATGATGATCGCCTGCCTGTGACGTCAGAGACGCGTATTCGGCAGCGGGTGTGCGTACATCAGGAATAAGTCCTTATTGCTACTCAACCGGTTTGCTGCTTCAAGGGAAACCGGTATAGCGAGAAGAAAGGAGAGAGAAATTCTCGGACGTGGAGCTCCTGAAACACAAAATTTTGTCATTCTGAGCGAGTGTTTCAGGTAGGAAGGATCTTGTGTGTTCTTTATTATGACGAGTCTTCTGACTGTTTGATGCAGTGTTTGCGTGCTCGTGTGTTGTGATCTTGTAGAATAATTATTCTTGCCCAGCTAGGTGCACCGCGTTCTCCTTGTTCTGACGATACTTTTTGAATATTAAACCAAGATTTGAAGGGCCCTCTCTATATAAGAGACACCTGGCTACATAAGGGCTGATTGAAGTGTATCACTTGTTCTTGAATTTTACAAACCCTTCGTCCATTTACCATCTGACAAGAGTTGGACCAAAGGAGCTTCGCAACACAGAAGATTAAGGTGAGGATTGAAACTGGAGTTTTAGAAAAATGAAACGCATAATCCATGTATAATCCCGGGACACGGGCATGGAATCCTCAAGGGGATTCCAAATTAAAAGTTGAATTGTATATTTCTTGAACTTGTCCCAAAAGAAAGGAATGATTTCACAAGCAACAAGACAGCTTGATGTAGAACACAAAAGCCTCTCGGCAAACTTCTTACGTGAATGTATATTCGGCAACAATAACCTTTCAAGACTGATGATGATTCTTGATGAGAAAGGGCTTTTTATTTATTTTTCTCATCCCGTCCTTGATCAGAACAAGGGCAGGACAGTGCCAAGGTGTCTGACTGGCTCAAAAAAGTTGAGTTGAAGACTTCTTGACATCGAGTTTTTTTTTTAGGGGAAGGAGGAAGAACAACATCGCCAAGTACAGTACTGTACATTGTATTGGAATGTGAAAAAAGCAAATCACATTTTGAGGAATAAATCAATAAATTTATTCCATCATCCAGAATTCAGCACAAAAAGAGCACGTGTGAAATTTATAATGAACGCTTCAAAGAAAGAAAAAAATAAAAATATCCGTGGGTTCGGATTATACACTGTATAGCATAAATAAAATTCGCAGAGATTTTTGCAGAATCGCAGCAGTCGCGAGAAAACTCATCAAAAACGAAGAAAGAAAAAGAAAATCCTGATTCTGCAAAGTATTTTTTCTTGGGTTTATCAAAGAATAAAACAGTAAATACTGTGGTACTTTTTGGGCTCAGCAGGCACCAAAATGGAGTATGAAGTTGTGAGTGCTGATGATGATGGGTTCACGCTGGGCGTTTTGCCATTTTTTTTCTGGCTCATTCCTGTAATATTGGCGAATTATTCAGCGACGTCGTCCACTGCTAGAAGAAGAAGAACCTCCACCCCCACTGCTTGAAGAAGAACTGCCAGGATTTGCAGACGCAATTGGCAACATGCCAACAGCAAGCACTGCCAAGGCAGCCTGTGAAAATAAATTAAAAAATTTTGCTTAAATGAAAAATTATGGCATATCAAGAATTGTTGGTGCTGTTCAAGTATATGCGACCAACTCTGACCAGGCCCAAAATTGTTTTGATACTCATCTTTGTGCATGACAAAATAATTCAGAGAAAGAATACTGATGGATGACAAACTTGTTTGAATTACAGTGGCCCCCTGCCTAACAGACCTCCCGTGTAAGGGATTTTTGCCCAACAGACCAGCTCTGCAAGCAGTTTTTTCTCCCGCCCAACAGACAAAATCCGCCAAACAGACTTCTTTTGGTTTAAAATTAGTGTTGAAAATTGAAATTTTTAATTTTTTATGTAATTGAATTCGTGTAAAGGACTTTTTGTCTAACAGACTTGTCCCTTGCACGAATCAAGTCCATTAGATGGGGGTTGACTGTACTTGATTAAAAATCATTGAACATGCACTCTTGCAATGTCTGAAAGATAATTTGAAAATCCTTGTGATGTATTCAAAGTGAAGTTATTTCCAAATTTTTTAGTTTTGAGCCCTGTTCCAATATGCGACTAACTTATTTGGCAAACCAATAGATTTTCTGATACATAGCACTGCCAATAAGTGATTGTCAAAGCTGACCAAAAGATAAATCATTGTACAGTACTCAAAATAAATGCTTTTAAAAATATATATGCACTAACCAAAACGCAAGAGAACGCCTTCTTGAAGTTCATGTTGACTGAGGATTTCAAGTTTTGTTGAGCACTTTCAACTGTTTGTGTTTTCACACTTTTGCTTGTGATGCTTGAGCTTATCTGTTGGACTTTGTGAAGCTTGTGGGACCCAGCTTTGGCATTTATAGCCAAAGAGCCCCCACGTGTTTCAGGCTGACACACTTCATTGATGTCGTGAGAGTACGATCTTTAGAATTTTCTGATGTGATGTGCTGCTTGGTGCCTGGTTCGAATTCTTTCGCATCGTGCTCAATTGCAGGCTATCCGTGATGTAATGACTCGTTGATTCGCGGTTGTTGCCACTTTCTCTCGCAATTATATCAAGCACAAAAGGGGAATGAGATCAAAAGAGAGAAACTTGAAAGAAACCCCTGTGCAGTATATACTGCAGTAGATCGGTTACACCGTTGATGAGCGAGAAAAAGCATGGCCGTTCAACTGAACGCCGACCAAATGATCGTCTCAAAGCGTACATCGTTTGAACTTATTGTTATACTGTAATAGGAACAGTTCCAAGTTGAATTTCTCATAAATCCCCACAAAATATTCCGAAGATAACTTTGGTTTGAACCTTTAATCAAAACTTTTTCGGTCAAATACCCTTGGTCGAATTTAAGGCCGATTATTGTGTGATTAATTTTTAGCCAAATTATATAGGGACCTAGGACAAATATTGAGACAAGACAGGGCCAAATTGAGAATATACTTTTGGAGACAGGGAAAATTTGTGACAGGAACGTTTTGAGACAAGGACAATTTGAGACAGAAACTTTTGGAGACAGGGACAATTGAGACAAATGCATTTTGAGAAATTGAGACATTTTGAGACAGATACATATTGCTTGATGGTTTTTGAGCTGAATTAGAGAAAACCCCCATCCCCCAAGAAAAGAAATGTAAATGATTTTCTGATTGCTTTCTTGAATAAATGATACAGCTAATTTCTGTAGGTCTAGAAAATCTGTGAATATTAGACAGTTCTAAGAGATTTGGCAGGAAGGAAAAAAAAAGTCAAAGAGTTTGCGCGAATTGGGCCAAATTCCTCAGGTCGAGAAGTCAAATTTGGTAGAGTTTCTTTGAATTTTACTTGGATGAGGGACTTATTGTTTGTTATTTTACATGGTAGCATTTTATTTTCATACAATTTGTTAAAAGTTCTGGAGTAAAATTCCTGCAAAATTTTTTTCACACAACATACCTTAGCGTACAAAGAAATACCATGAGACTACATAATTCCAGAATTATTTAAAATAAATAATTAATTTAAAATTCCAATTTTTTACTGGCACTTTTGAAATGAGAAATTTCTGTATCAATATTCACTGCTCACAGAAAAAAATTATAAAAATGTTTGTAGGTGTAGGAAATCTGTGAATATTCAACTGTTCTAAAATGCTTGTCTTAAGAAAGAAAAGTCAAATAGTTCGGACAAATTAGGCAGACTAATTTATGCCATTTATTAGACCATTTGAGAGAGCAAACAAAAATGTATAAACATTTTTTGCTAAAAAGGTTTATACATTTTTAATACAGTATATGTAAAAAAAATGCCAGCAGCTCCTTTCACAGGCGCTTGGTTGGATGGCGCTCAATTGTCCCAAAGATCATTTGGTCTTTGCCCTCACTTGATCCTTCAACAGGGAAAAGTGGGTGAAATTTACTTTTCTTTTGCCACCATTGATTTTCAACAAATCACCTCAGAACAATAAGAAGAGTTTCTTTTTCACATCACATTCACAACTTGGTCATGTGACAAATCAGCTTAGTTGGGGGAAAGTTTAATACAGTCAACCTTGCTAAGTCAAACCTCCCTAAGTCAAATACCTCCCTAAAATCAAATTCTTTCAAGTCCCCATATGAATTCCCATGCATTAAAGAGTGCAGAAAGAATGCATAAGAAACCTCCCTCACTCTAAGGCTTTTCCTTTAAAGCCTCCATAGTCAAATTTTTTGAGGCCTTCTGGCTACTATTTTTTTTTGGAACAGGAAAGAAAAAAACGATAAAAATGGAATTTGAGGTGCTTTGAAAGGATTTGACAGACTAAATTGGGCAAATGAACCCCTGTCTCCAAGTTCACCATGCTGTTAACTCATTTTAGAAGCAATTCAAGGTCCAGAATATTACCATGTATAGTGCAATTAACCAACGCAATTGGTGAAATTCTCTAATGTTTCCCACAATAAAAATGCTTGATCCCATAAATCAAACATGTATATACAGTAAATCAAAACCTCCCTAACTTTTAATTTTTTTGCTGGTCCCTTTATATTTGACTGAGATGTTCAACTGCAGTATATGTATACTATACTATAGCTGAACGAAAGTCATACAAATGTTTCAAAAACTTTCTACCTTTGAAGAATGATTGTTGCTAAGAATGGAGGATGATATTTTAACAATGAACGCATTTTGGACTTGAGAGACATTTCTTGCTCTATGTTTCCTTTCTCAGTATTTAATTTATTCTGATGGAAGACAAACTTTTTAATGGGATGTAATATTTGCTAAAAATTGCCCATTGGTCAAGCATCACTGCTGCCTCTATACTGTAATTTTTGTATAAATTACAAGACTTTGAAGAGAGCTTCAGCAGGTATAGCCTCACATTCTTGATCCTTCTGGAATACTCTACATTCCCTTGAAAGATAAAAGCTATCACATGTAATGAAAATGATTAGCCTGAATTTAAAATGTATTATTTTTATTTAAAGTTTTGCATTAAAGTTAACATTTTCCACCTTTGGACTACTGTTAATTATCTTGAAAAAAATGTAAAAATTAAAAAAAACAATGCTTTATACTTTAAATGCGTTGGGTACGTTAAAAATGAAATTTTTCTAGCAAATCATAATTTTGAAATTGTGTTGCATGAAAATCGCATTCATATCAGTTCCAGCTCACCTTTCTAAAAAGTTCAGTCTTTTGACGTCAAAAGCGGAAGGTTGATGAATGACTTTGTTTCAAAATTGGCTTTGAGGAAAAATAGGTGTGAATTTGACATCAAGGTTGCAGGGCCATGAGTGCTAATTTTAGGTACTGTGCTTTTGCAGTGGCTCTGCTTGGTTGATTTATTGCGCCAAGAAATAATTGCTCTGTATATGAAATGTTGACTACGTACTTTTTCAAAAAAATTTTTTGGGTGACTAAAAATTGATCATGAGACTGATATTTTTATGATAAAAATAAAACTTTATAAGCACTGCATATACATTTGAGGCCAAATATTGTTCCATAAAACTCGGAAAATCCCTTTTCCTATTTCATTATTGGATTGTAACATTCTTTGCACAGCACAAATTTATTGAGAATTTCTCCTTTAATCAAATTCAAGAAGAAAACTAAATAGTAAAAATATCCTAAATTCTATATGCTGGGGACAAAGCAGATAAATTGCAAATATAAATATTATTTTATTACAATTAATCTTGAAAATTTGTCTCAAAAAGATCTTCAAACTTTATTTATTTGGTTTTTGTGCTGTGACCTTATGGAAAATGTTAGAATGCTAAATCTCTTGTACTGCAGCATAAATGTTTTTTATTAATGAACCATGTCGTGTACATAAAAAATGCTGTTATGAAAATGTCTTATAAGCACAAAAAATACTAATTTTTATTCAATTGCACTGACTCAGAGTCATTCATAATAAAAATAATAAAATTTCATGTACAGTATTAAAATTTGAGCCAACCAACGCTGTGTTTTACCAACATCCCCATTTCAGAAAAACTTTATTCTAAGTCTTCTGCAGAATCTCATCATGTCGGCTTAAACATTAAAAAAACAAAAACTGCTAAAACTTTTCACTGCCCGGTGTTTTCACTGCATGCGGTTGCATTTTCTTTGTCATTCGATTTGGGTTCGTTGAACTTGCTAAAAAAAAAAGGCTCTTGTCAATTGTCTACCTGGAAACAAAGGAAGGATCGAATCGTTGGGTATTTAAACGCTGACCAGTCTTCTGGTTCAGCATCACAACTGCTCAGTGTGTTGCAGAAGCAAGTACAGTACATCACTCCAAAATCTAAGTCAGTTTCAAGCTTTCTGTTGGAAGTTACCAAAAAAAAAAAAAAACAGCCATGAACTTCAAGAGGACTTTCTCTGCTGTTGTTGTAAGTGATACCTATTTTATATTTATCTTTGATTGATTTACAGTATTATTTTAATCAAGTTTGTTTTCATTTATTTACATCTTGGGATTATTGGCACTTGGCATGCTTCCAATGGCAGCTGCAAAACCAGGCAGTTCTTCCTCCAGCAGCAGCGGTGGCGGCGGTGGATCGTCCTCATCAAGCAGTGGAAAATGAGAAATTTCTTCGAATTACAATCTTTGGCCGCCGAAATTTTCATCATCATCATTGCGCTGATACTTTCATTCCTTTTTGATTTCAAAAAAGTTTCTTCATCCACATCGTTTATTGCTGCTTCCTTGCATTTGCTGGTTGAGAATTCTTCTGCATGCATGTTTTGCTTGAATGCATTTCCTTATCCTTGGCTCCACAACCTTTCCTGATCGTTCCTCCTTCATATATGCTTGCATTGTTTTTCTTTTACTATGGCCTTTTGTTGACTCTTCAAAAAGTGGAGAATACACAGTTTCTTTTGTTGGCTTCAAGTTGGATTTGTTCTGATTTGTATTTCATTTGAAACCCAACATCAAATGAGAGCATTTGAACTTCAGTAAGGTTTTCTTAATATCTATGCTTCATATTCTAGTGCATTTCCAATTGAAGCATTTTCTTGACAGTGATCACCATTGCTTAATTGATGACGCTGCTGGATTCATATACAGGGTGGGCCAAAAAAAGTGAACCAATTTTTAACCATACGACCCATACGACCAAGAAAAATGCATCTCAAAAATATTTGTTGAAACAAATAAAAAACCAAGTGAAATAAATATTAAAACCAGCAAACGATTTTCTTCCCTCCTTTCATTCTCTCACGCGTCTGGAAGTTTTTCAACAGGAAGTGCAATGACAAAAATACATGAAATTCCGATGAACGGTTCACGTGCAAAAGCGGAAAAACATGGACGCAAAACCAATGTTTAGTCCACAATAAAAGCAGACATCTCTGAACATGATCGCCAAAAAAGCAAAACTAAAACAAAAAATACGGAGGTTTTTCTTTTCCGGAACCAAGAATAACTTCAGACTCAATATTCCCCTCTAAAAAAAAACATCACAGCTGTGCCTTCTCCAAAAATCCAAACAATAAAAAGGAACGCATCAAAGCCACCAACACAGCATCAATCCATGAGCACTCAAATATTGGATGAAAACTAAAATTTCTGGAAAGACAGGGAGAGCATTTCTCAAATTAATTGGAAATTACAGCTGAAATACGAAGGTTGCTTCAAAAGTTCAGTGCGAAGTCGATAACAAACAAAACTTATGAAATCAACTCTGGTAACCCGTGACCCAAACAGTTTTCCCAGGAATACACAATTTTTGGAAGTCACAAAGCACAGCAACCTTGAAAAAAAATGAAGTACTGTACCACCTCATACAGGAATGCAAAAAAGTCTAGGATTTTTTCTTGCTGGAATATATTTCGCGCGCGAAGTTTCATTTTTTCGCAAAAAATATGGAAATTTGCCAGGAAGCGAATGTAATACGGGAATGCCTACTTGACCGAATCTTGGGAGACTTCTCAAGACTAATTGTACCACGAAAGGCTAGAGTGAAAAAAATCTTGACAAACTTTTTGAACGTAGATGATGGGTCATACAAAGGTCATGCGCCTCCGAGGAGATCTACAAATGATCACACGCTATCATATCCAGAAGAGATTTTAAAAACTTTCCCAAAGATTCCTTGATTATTAGTTTATTACTCAACTTGCTTTTCAATCTCCAGATCAAAATCCAGAAGCATAAATATAATATCTCCACCATTCAAGCGGAAATCCTTTTTTCACAAGAGCAGCAAAGTTGACTTGAAAACTTACACATTAGATTCCTCAAAATTCGTTACGAATTTCTATCAAATGCAGGTAATAATCTAACAATCAACTGAGGAAGATTGATTTTTATTATGAGAAATGCGTAGTTCATCTTTGCGTATAGGAATGCATGAAAAAGTGATGCATCACAAAATTAATCAGTGATCCAGGAATTTAACATTCAACTCTTCAAAGAAATTATGCTATCAATTATCATGATTTGCTTTTTCTAAAGTTTTTTAGGGAATGCTTATAAAATTTATGATGAGCATAATATCACTATAAAAAACATTTCACATAGAAATTTTCATTTTGAAGCTTAATTTAGCATTTCCGAGGTTTATGTCGAAAATCCTTGCTTAAACCTTCAGCCAAATCTTAAAAAGTAAAAAAAAATTATATCTTCTTCTCAACAGGAAGCCGACACGCCGCCTCAAAGGACTTCGCCTTGAGCCCACGCACGAAGCCAGACTGCACAAACTCATCCAACGCGGCAAACCTGCACATGGACCAAAACGGCAGGCCCTGGCCCGGCTCCTTGTCCACTCCTGGCCCATCTGGGTCTCTCACAGCCTGCCAAATCCGAGCCTCCTCCTGCA